GGGGTGGGACCCCAGGTAGGTGAGGTAACATGTGGCGGGCAACCACACCTAACATGTAAACGTGATCAAATTAAAATGAGAGATGATATGGACAGGCGGGTGACCACACCTACCCGGGTCCCCCACCTCCAAGTAAACAGGCCCTAATTTGACGTTTTGTCAAGGTACGGAACACAAGACAACAACTTTCTTTTTCTTTTCCACCCTCCCACCCAGAAAGTCACGTGGGTCGTTTTACAAACTACCCCTAAGCCAAGCTAGGACAGCTTGGCTTAGTCCGCTGATCAATCATTTTTCCATACCTTATAGAGCGATTTCACATGACGACACGGTGGCCATATTGGTGTCCCAAAACAATGAAACGGCAGCCATGTTGGTGTTCCAAACCAGTACTGTGGGAGTTGAACTATTTTCTTATTAAAACACTTTCTTCTGTTCCAATAAATTTGATAGACACTGGTCACGCGAGTGAAAACGCTCTATCAATACAACTGAGCATGAATATGAATGTTGTTGAATAGTTTACTATGCCAATGTACACTGTATTTACAAAATTCACTTTTGAGATTGTAATTGTCTGTGTTTTTTTCATTTGTCAAATCAAATTAGGTAAAACCTGCAGTGAAATAAAACTATACAATCCACAAGCTACAAGTGGATCGTATGTTATCGACCCCGATGGAGAAGGAGGCTACGAACCATTCACTGTTCATTGTGACATGACAGACAAGAACGGAGTTGGTGTGACAGTTGTTGGTCATGACGGTGAAGAGAGGACCCTGGTCAAAGGCTATGAAGGTCGAGGAGCCTATGTACGTTATATTCATTACACAGGAACCAACCTGACAAGGAATGGTCAATTGTTTGGTCTTCTGGACATCTCTACACATTGTGAGCAGTTTATCAAGTACGAATGTCATCACTCTGTCCTCTTATACATGGGTAACCCATATGGATGGTGGGTCGCACGTGACAACGTTAAAATGACATACTGGGGAGGGGCCACTCCTGCAGATTCCTACAAGTGCGCATGCGGGGTGAACAACACATGTGCAGACAGCAGCCGTGGATGTAACTGCGATAAGAATGATGCAGTGTGGCGTGAGGACAGCGGTCTCCTTACTGCAAAGTCTGACCTTCCAGTTTTACAGCTGAGATTTGGAGATACAGGCGATTCAGGAGAAAGAGGTTACCACACGCTTGGGAAACTCAAGTGCTACGGAGGTCATTACTGTGCTACAGTCAGTCCTTAACGCCTTTGTCCTTGCACAAAATGCTCCTGTAGAGTTATGAAGGTATCAGAAAAAATTCATCAGGGAGAACTAACCATAAATTTTCTGTTGTTGTAGTTTCAAATTAAGCAGTTGAGTTCATTCTAAATAGTTTTCTGGATCACAGTTACTGTTACACATCAAGAGCATAGAATACAAGCTTGAAGACATGTGACAATTCTTATTTTCAACTAAGTACGTGGTCAATAAATGGGTTAAAATGGGAAAAAAGCGTCTGACTAGTATAATAGAGAACGCTATCGATTTTCTTCAGCTCTGCCCTCTATACATGTTATGTAGCCACAGGTCCTAAATCTTGAGTTTGCTGAATTCTACTCCACGTTTTTTAGTCTTGTGTCACTACTATAGTTCTAGTTCTTTATGGATCGATAACTGATACCATCTGTCCTCCCACGGGCTCCTGGCCCTCCGTCTCTATCAAGCACCCCCCCCCCCCCCCCCCCCCCTCAAACGTGCTTTAAATAAATAAGCCACACGGGGGACTTAATAGAGGATTTACGGGATTTCATTATTAGCAAAATAAGACGCCCTTTACATTCCTCTTTTCCTGAGTCCCCACCCCCGCTTCCCTCGTCGTCCATGGGATCTAGTAAGGCACAAAGTTTTCTGACAAAGACAGGGAGGCCACTGACCAACTTTTGTCGCAACAGCAGAGATCAACGTGAACACAAGTCCAGAGTCTCGAAAGACCACTGGAGGAAGTTCATGGGAGTTGTTAGTGAAGCTCAGCTTGCCGGTCATCCAATTGCGTAGCCCCGTACCCCGTACCTCCCCTCCCCTCCCTTAACCTTACCTCCGTTCCTATACCAGAATGTTTGGCGTTAGTTTGGGGCTCTTTGTATTGTGTTTCCACTTTACTCACTGACAGTTTGAGCAAAAATCACGAAGACTTGCAACGTAAGGGTGAGAGTTGCGACTAGAAGGAAGTATTGAAATGAACTCAGCAAGACTTTGAGGCTTTGTTCGTGTCTTTTCTAGCTTTTTCTAAGTGTTCTTTGATGTTTTGTTGTGCAAAAAAGAGTGTGAATCAATCACTGAGACACATGTCGGTATCGCCAGCTTACCATTAATTAAGAGGGTTTTTGGTTTTATCATTTTACTCATCTTCTCTATTTTCTTTTTGGATTCGATTTTGGATGCCTAAACAGGTCAGAGTGAGGATTTTAGTTATCCTTTGAGATATATAGAGCAGGAGACTTGGGCGGGCATGTTCTTACACACATTGTACCAAACAAACAGGAAGGCTTTCCTGTCGGTGCGTTGTGATCCTGAAGGAAGCTAAGCTTTTGTACACTATGCTTTTGTTTGCCCACTAAAAAGCCGTACCTTAATGCTCCAGTTTTTTCCACTAAAATGTTCAAAAATGTTTATCGTGTGGAGGCTTTTTTATTAATTTTAACGCTAAAAAAAACCTTGTAAAAAAAGAACATATACAACTTGATGGTTTTCATGCATATACATAGAGCAAAAGATGATACTTTAAACAGCTGTATTCGGTTGACATTTGAGATCAACCTCGTTCCCAGGGTTCTCTCCTACTCGTCCCTACGGAGCGAGAGAGACAGAGACAGAGACCCTGGTTGGGTCTGGTCACGTGGCTCCAGAACAGAATTATTTCTGCGAAACATTGTCGAGTGGAAGGTCATTGCACCCTACTGTTGCCCGTTAACTTCCTTTCGTTTTGAGTTTGTTATTCAGTTCGGGGAGAGGAATGACTCTCATTGCAATTGTTTTTTCAAAGGAGAATAAAGCCGGTCAATTTCGTTTGAATGTTTAAGAAAATACCACCGAGTTAATTCAAAACATCAAACTCTAAATGCCCTAAAAAATGGGTATAACGATAGAGAAAAATTAACGAAGAGAACTATAAATTCTAACTAACTGCAAAATTAAATCAAAAAACTTATGTAGTGGGGGATTGGAAAAGAGGAACAGAAATTTACTAGTGGTTCGTACTGTTTTTAATCTTACATAACTTCTCAAGTTTTTAAACCAAGAGAACTCAAGAATCTGTGTCTGAAATAAGTTTATGGCAAGCTTATAAGTGATCAAAACTGATGTGACCCCAGGGCCCTGAGAAATGGTCAACCAAACGCAACTGGGCATTTTTACCAGCGTAACCTGTTACATTCCAGCTTTTCTCTGTCAAAACTTCTTTACACGCCGCCGGTGTCTCCCTGCGAACCACTTCCCCATCAACAATAAGCTCAGCACGAATGTTTAGAACTGTATAATCTTTGCAGCCTGCTCCAATCAGGAACGTGAGGAACTTTCCAGTAATTCGAAAACTGGGTGACGTCATTGAGCCTTGGGGACCATCTTCTTCCATTCCGCAATACATGTGATTGGGACTGGACCGATTGTCGTAGGTACCAATCCACCAATCCGCTTTGTAGTTGCTCCCATACTCAAGCCCCCTTGCTAATGTGTTATTGCCGTATGTTGGCTGATTATTGAATGCAGTACCATTATATAATAATATTTATTTAAAAGAGTTTAACCCTAACCCTCAGTTGTTCTTCTGTTCCGCCTAGATTAGCTTTTGCTACCTGCGGGACAGTGTAATTAATTAAGTTTATTCTTACAATAAAGTTATGTTGTTATTGTTACAATTCAGCGTCTCTGATTTAGTTGAGTTATAGCCAAAAACTAATAAGGTGGACCAACCCATCAATGTTTGTGCAAAATAATTGTCGTAAATCAAGGCATTGCACCTCTTCCACAATCGCTTGATCTGGGGAATGTGAGACTTTATAAGATCTCTGTCGAGAAAACGGAATAAAACACTGGGATACCTGTGCAGTTGTACCCGTCTCCATAGTAACCAATATTGCAAGGGCATCTGAAAGATCCTTCTGTATTGGTACAAGTTGCGTTCGTTCCACATCTCTCATCTCTCTTTTTCACCTTCGTCTATATCTAGGATAATGTTGTCACACTGTGAATCCTTTCAGCACCACGCATCTCCAGAACCATAATCCTTTATCAAGGAAGATCACTTCTCTCTTTTAAGTCCAATATCCCCTGCCTCTTTTTCCGATTTCAACCAAATTAAGACAGACTACCGTGAAATTCCGGTTAAAATAAATAAACATAAAATTCTCTTGAGCGCCAAAAATTCTTGTGAAGCGCTCTACACCATGCTAATTTGAAACATAAAATTTTGTAATGAAATATAACTAAATCATTACTAAATATTAGAATATTATAAGATCAGGACAATCTTTTCAGGACGATCTTTTCTTTGGATACTGGCCACTCATTATCACACACCAAATATGACGCGTCACGTAAAAATGTTCAAAATTATCCATTAAACCACACAACACAATAAAACACAGCCGATACCTTCTTAAAGCAGTGCCACCCTTGCAGTTCAGTACTTTTATCATAATTGTGATTTCATGTTGAACAAGACTGAATTTTTTTAACATCTAAACATAACACGACATATCGAATCTCCATGACACTCTTGCTCGCCTTTTATAAGCTCAACCAAATCTTATAGTTGTGCGCAGTCAGTTCTCTCTGAGGAAACGCCGTTGGAACAGGCAATGGTAATGTGCCCGTCTTTGAGAGGTTTCTATCGAATACTAGTGAGAGACCAATAATATGCATGATTGAACAACCGCAGGAATCAACTCTATAAGTGTGCACTTTAGGGAGGTGCTCCTTGAGAGAGATTTGACTTCGAACCAGAATTTTATACATAAATCAAACAAAAAAAGGAGAGATAGACGCATTCCCAAGTCTTCAGTGCAATGTTAATCTACTTGAAGTCAACTAACGACAGAACAAACACGGTGGGGCCAAACAACCCCTCAAAAGGATTATTAAGCTAAATTTTAGTATCTTTTACATTTCTTTTCATTTCTTGACCAAAGTCGCAAGATAGACTCAATTGTTGACCACATGATATTAAGTTCTGTTTGACGCANAACCAAATTAAGACAGACTACCGTGAAATTCCGGTTAAAATAAATAAACATAAAATTCTCTTGAGCGCCAAAAATTCTTGTGAAGCGCTCTACACCATGCTAATTTGAAACATAAAATTTTGTAATGAAATATAACTAAATCATTACTAAATATTAGAATATTATAAGATCAGGACAATCTTTTCAGGACGATCTTTTCTTTGGATACTGGCCACTCATTATCACACACCAAATATGACGCGTCACGTAAAAATGTTCAAAATTATCCATTAAACCACACAACACAATAAAACACAGCCGATACCTTCTTAAAGCAGTGCCACCCTTGCAGTTCAGTACTTTTATCATAATTGTGATTTCATGTTGAACAAGACTGAATTTTTTTAACATCTAAACATAACACGACATATCGAATCTCCATGACACTCTTGCTCGCCTTTTATAAGCTCAACCAAATCTTATAGTTGTGCGCAGTCAGTTCTCTCTGAGGAAACGCCGTTGGAACAGGCAATGGTAATGTGCCCGTCTTTGAGAGGTTTCTATCGAATACTAGTGAGAGACCAATAATATGCATGATTGAACAACCGCAGGAATCAACTCTATAAGTGTGCACTTTAGGGAGGTGCTCCTTGAGAGAGATTTGACTTCGAACCAGAATTTTATACATAAATCAAACAAAAAAAGGAGAGATAGACGCATTCCCAAGTCTTCAGTGCAATGTTAATCTACTTGAAGTCAACTAACGACAGAACAAACACGGTGGGGCCAAACAACCCCTCAAAAGGATTATTAAGCTAAATTTTAGTATCTTTTACATTTCTTTTCATTTCTTGACCAAAGTCGCAAGATAGACTCAATTGTTGACCACATGATATTAAGTTCTGTTTGACGCAAAATGTCAAATTGTGACGTCACAACAGCTGACGTCACCAAAATGGGTGAAATAAAGTTTTTAATTTCAAAGTCAAACTTATATCATCTGAAAGAGCTTTAGAAGAGGAGAAATTGCACCCCCCAGAACCATACTTTTTCTTAAAAAACGATCCCTATGATATTTTTTTCACAGTTTTTTCGACCAGCGTTCATTTTCAGAAGAAACAATTACCAGCAGGACATTTTTAAAGGCATTTAAATTCCTAAAGAGGATATTAAGTCGAACGCCGGGAGATCAAAATCACTGTCCTAATCCCCACCCCCGTTAGTATCGATAATATCTACAGATGAGGTGTTTTCTTCACAAGGCTGTGTTTCTGTTTCAAATCCTTTCCGAAGAGCGCCCGCGCATGCGCTGAAAGGTTGTGATAAAGAAGACGGGTCTGATGTTACTTTTACAGCGTTTTGCCTTCTAACAGTACTCAGTTGGTCCGCATGCCCTTTTGAATCCTCTAAATCTGCAGCAAGACAGGGAAAATGAAATCAGGGTTTTTTTTCGTCTATTTTGTTACGAAATAAACTATCAAGTTTTGGCACAGCGAGAGGCAGCTAGTTTCAGTACCCAAAGGTTAGTGCATGGACAGGCTATCGAAAGAAAATAAAAGGGATGCTTGCCCAATGGATAGCAGGCCTAACTACGCAAATAAATGTCTCATTGCATCCTTGTCTGCGAGGTTAGTTCTAAATTTACTCTCTAGAATACATTACACAACTCAGTCAGCAACACTTTGCAAGTAGAATTGGCGATCAGCGTGGGCAATTTATATTTCTAAGGGACGTCCGTCGCACAAAGGCTTAACGCGCGGGGGTTTTTAGTCAATGACTGACACATGAGTCTCCTCACAATTGGCCCAGTTAGAGTGCGATAATGTGCGCGTGAACTTTGCCTACAACTGGCAATAAGCTGAATAAACCGGAAGCTGAACACCATGAATTAGTTACTAAATCACACCGCTCAGGTTTTTAGGTGGATATTAAAAATCGTATTTTCTCAAGTACCAGAGGGGTTTTTCGCGCATTCTGGTGCGCAGTTTGGCAGTGATATACCAAGCATCAGACAGGTAACGCACCGAAAGCCACCATTTTACTCTTCTTCTACCAAACAGTTTTCCTGCAATGGTCTTTGTACCGGTCCTATGCCGAGGCCTTGCACGAGCAAGATACGGTAATCGAGAGTCGAGAATCGATATTGTACCTGGGACAAGAAAAGGTCGCCGTCCAAGGAACAACTGATGAAAATGCAAGAGCTTCAAGCTGCTGAGAATCCTCAATTCTGGATTATAACCAGTGAAGGAACTCCTGAGAAGCGTCCAAATTATAAAGGAACTTTGGAGGCCATTCAGCCACGGTGATTGTCGCACCACGCATAAAGTAGAATAAATTTGTTAGCCTGGTCTTGTCTTTGCCACAAATCACGTAAAACTATAAAGAAGGTGCCACTATGAACTCTGGAAAATGAAAATTCAATAATACTATTGCTGACGACTGACAGTTTAAAAGAGAGACAACCTTTACCTCAGAATCTTGGGTGGCCACCTGTAAGCTCTGAGGGAGAGGGAAGCCCCATAATTTGGCCTATTTCAAAAACAAATGACACTACAAAAATTACTTACAATTATAATTTCAAAAGAGAGACTACCATCACCTCAGAAACTTGGGCGCGCCGCCTGTAAGCTCTGAAGGAGAGGGTAGCCCCATAATTTGGCCTATTTCAAAACAAATGACCGTACAAAGATGACCTACAATGATAATTTGGATAATGACCGACATTTCAAAAGAGAGACTACCATCACCTCAGAATCTTGGGCGCACCGCCTGTAAGCTCTGAGGGAGAGCAGGGTCGTAACAAGGTATATTTTTTGCCGACTGATCCCACATTTAAGCCTAAAATTTTGATCCCTGATCCCAAAATTGTTGCAAAACTTGATCCTTGATCCCGTGAATTTTTTTTGTCTCTGTATTCAATCTGGGTTGGATTAACGTTAACTGCGTATACTTTATAAAAACTGAAAAAAAGTGTTTCTCTGTTTTATTTCTTTTACAATTAGTCACATCATTTACTGACTGGAGAATTAAGGTTGGCTCCAGTCTGTTCTTTCGACTTATCATAATTTCTATCATAATCGGCGTTCCACTTAAGAGCTCTGATTACAATATATCTTGTTATGAACTTTAATAGTTTAATACTCTGTTCGTACCATTTACGCCCTTCTTTTAACAACACAAGCGAAAGAAAAGATCAACTTAGTCTGGTAAAAGGCGTTTGCTCTAGCTGTACATGTATCTCTGTCTCAGTCGTCGCCTAGATAGCACCGGTTGACCAACTAAGTTCAGGTGTGCCACAAGTCATACATCACCATCTGACTATTTTTATACACGTTTCATACTGGTGTAGGTAGCCTGAAGGTGTACGCCGCAGGGAGAAAACTTGTAGCGATGAAGGCGGCCCAACCTAGGGGGGCTGGTGGCATACTACCAGAAAAATTTTAAATTTAGGGTGTCAGAAATGCCATTTCCAGCGTTTTTTTACAGGACATTTTCAGTAAATTATGTTCGTATATGGATGCTACGCTCCTGAGATCTCTTTGAGCAAAGATTGGCTTGACCAACGACTAGTTCCTACAGAATACCACAAGACCAGGATGATTAGAGAATCCCTGTTGCTAGCGTATGAACAACAACAGTTTGCCAAATGCTAATATAACTTGCAAAAAGTGTAGCGACAGGAAATTTAAAGAATCTATCATGGCTTCAATATTTGCAGTAGTTTATTTCCACACTATAGGGATTGTGTTTCCTGGATTTTGGACGATCCGGCCTGTTATAGCCTTGTAGGCTTTTATCACAGAGCTTCTCCTTAGCAGAATATTTAATCAGAGCCGCAAGCTTCATATTTTTGCTATCCCTTTCATGACACTAGCTACTTTACATTTGAAAGTAATTTGCAAAATAAAGTTTTTAATTTCAAAGTCAAACTTATATCATCTGAAAGAGCTTTAGAAGAGGAGAAATTGCACCCCCCAGAACCATACTTTTTCTTAAAAAACGATCCCTATGATATTTTTTTCACCGTGTTTTTTGACCAGCGTTCATTTTCAGAAGAAACAATTACCAGCAGGACATTTTCAAAGGCATTTAAATTCCTAAAGAGGATATTAAGTCGAATGTCGGGAGATCAAAATCACTGTCCTCATCCCCACCCCCGTTAGTATCGATAATATCTACAGATGAGGTGTTTTCTTCACAAGGCTGTGTTTCTGTTTCAAATCCTTTCCGAAGAGCGCCCGCGCACGCGCTGAAAGGTTGTGATAAAGAAGACGAATCTGATGTTACTTTTACAGCGTTTTGCCTTCCAACATTACTCAGTTGGTCCGCATGCCCTTTTGAATCTTCTAAATCTGCAGCAAGACAGAGAAAATTAAATCAGGGTTTTTTTGTTCGTCTATTTTGTTACGAAATAAATAGTTCTCCACCCAGCCTTTTTGCCTCTGGATTCTTTTCCTTAGCAAGGGTTGATGATACCTTTAGCTTTCACAATGCGCTTATTAAGGGAGGACTCTAAGTCGAACAAATTGGCCGTTTTGAGATCCGCGTGAGACTGGAACGGAATTGTGCCAAATTGCATTATGGGACGGTTTTGAGGTCGCTTTTTGACTCAGTCCTTAAGCAACTCTTTGTGATGGCCAATAAAATAAGCGTTAGAGTCCCCAAAACAGTCACGTGATGCAATAGGCCATTTCCGAGTTTTCCCAGGTCTCTGTATCAAAACGAGGTTAAGTGTTCACCCTTTTATATGGAAAGGATTTTTTATTTTTTATTATTAACAATCTCAAGTTCTTTGTTATACATAACTTTAAGGGGCACAATATTAGTTTATCTAGATGTGCCCCTCTCTCCTCTCCTTCCAATATACAATGTAATTCAATTTAAGTGTTGTAATTTCTGTTTTACGCGTTTTTTCCTTTGTAAATCTTTATCTGTTACTATATTACTTTTTTCACGTTATATTTGCATAACTATGTATCAGCTAGGAATTGGAGGAATAAATAAAATAAAATAAAATAAATTCTCATGCAAACAAAACTCGTTTTCACAAGAAAGGTTTTGCAGTTGGCCTCATTTTAAAAGTGAGGGGTTTTGGAAGACGGAAGTGGCCTATTCCACACGACACTTATGTTACCCGACCCAGACCAACAGGCAACTGCAAAATGGCCAATACGGTGTAATAATAGAGTTGGACAACCAAAAGCACCTAATGATAATTAAAACTGTCGAGGCAATATACAAATTTTGACCAACCTTCGTCCAAAGCATTCAACTCCTTTTCTTGACACTTCTCTATAAACTCGTCTGAGTTGCAAAGTCCGTTTGAAAAATCTATTGAAATTAAAACAGTGACGTTAAAATCTTTTCGTTGCATATCGGCATGTTGAGGTTCCTCTTTATCCTGGGTCGGTGTTGTGTCGTATTTCGCTGTGGTACATTGTTGGAGATGCTTTCTCTTTTTTATGACATTGCGCAGAAACTAGGGTAGAATTCGTCCCCAATAACAGTCCCACAATGCAATGCAACACAACACAACACTGACCCAGTCTCTGGCGCAAACAGTACAAAAATCGACAATGGCAGGAGCCCCAATACCCTGCAGTGGCACCGCACGCACGTCAGACTTTTATTCTATTTTCAGATTTAACTTCCTCGTGATATCAGTCGCTGATTTCACTAAGGTCCATAGAATGAGAATGGATCCCTTACCACGCGTCTCCTTGGTAATCGCTTCCAAGGTATTTCAACCGGTTGAACAATCTTCGCCATTGCTGAAAGTCCTATGCTGCTCTAACTGACTAAAAGCTTTTTTTGAACAAAAGATGAGTCTATGAAAGTAGGAAGATGTCATATGCCATGACCCAGAACACACGTTAGTGGCCGACCATTTGACTTACAAAGGAGGGAGGGGTGGGATCTGGTTGGAACAAGATCTTATTTCAAGCCTGCTATAGTGATCTATTTTTTCCGTACTTTATTGGCATGAATCGAAGGCTATAATGGGAACTGAGAAGATTTTGCCTGATTATATCATGAAAAAAAAGGGGGGGAATAAGCAACTTACTTCCACAGTGTTCGATGACTTTGCCCCATACAGCGTTACAAGACAGCATTTTAAGGTTGCCAACAATAAGCAAATGCCTGGGAAGAAACAAAAACCAGCTTACGAGCAGTATCTATCCCTTAAGGAAAACAAGACAAAGACAAACGCGAAGGACCGTCAAAAAAGACAAGGATAAACCAAAGTAAAGATCACCGAAAAAGCTGGTACAAACCTCTTCGCTCTTGTTAGGGCAACATTGCTGCGTCTAAGATAAAAAAAGGAAAGAATTTCTTACATTTAGCAAAATTGAACACATTTCTAATCCTAATTGAACAGGGACCCCACGCTTGCCCCATTCCCCTCGCAAGTCATAATCTGAACGTCATCGACACTCTTCCGTTCTTCTCGTGTTTGGCTTTCTATACGGCAAACACTTTTTGAGCAAGTAGACTTAGTGTAAGCCACAACGAATTCGGCCTTAGGTAGGGTTGACTACCTAACACAAGATATACAATACTGGGTTTAGCAACCAAACGTACTTGTCACAGTCAATGAATCCAATGTGATCTGTACGAACACAGGACAATATAATAACATCCTTCTCTCCGCCTTGAAAAGCATCAACAGTTGATATCTGGTTCAAAAGAAGAGAGCAAAAAATAATTTTACAATAACAGTGTGATTTCTCGCGCACTGATTGGTCGAGAGATATGGTCGATAATAGTAGATTACGGAAATGACGTCATGATCGCACAGTTTGTTTTTGTCTTCTTGTACGCGAGGTTTTCCGAGAAATCTCAACGGAAATGGACGCCAAAAACTATATATCCTATCGATCAATTATTGCAGTGACACCATTCCCTTGACGCTTGTGGTTTCACTTGGAGTTTTGAACATTTTGACGTCATTTGCATGGTCGATAGGAGTACAAACTATGGAAAATTGTTGTTGTTTTGTTTATTTTTGGACTATTTGTCGCTGACTACCAGTTTCAGTTGTGAAGAAATGCCACTGTGAGGAGCTTGGCAGTCAAAACGATCACAGAAAATCCCTGGTAAAAATCACTAGTCAAAACACCTATCCGGTGGGTAACTACCTTTAAGTCTAAGTCCTAGTATGAACCCACCCACTGATCGACTAGGACTTAATACTTGTCGAGTACTTGTAGTCAAAACACCTATCCGGTGGGTAACCACCTTGAAGTCTACGTCCTAGTGTGAACCCACCCACTGATCGACTAAGACTTAATACTTGTCGAGTACTTGTAGTCAAAACACCTATCTGGTGGGTAACTACCTTGAAGTCCAAGTCCTAGTGTGAACCCACCCACTGATCGACTAAGACTTAATACTTGTCGACTACTTGTAGTCAAAACACCTATCCGGTGGGTAACTACCTTGAAGTCCAAGTCCTAGTGTGAACCCACCCACTGATCGACTAGGACTTAATACTTGTCGAGTACTTGTAGTCAAAACACCTTTCCGGTGGGTAATTACCTTGAAGTCTAAGTCCTAGTAGGAACCCACCCACTGATCGATTAAGACTTAATATTTTTCGAGTACTTGTAGTCAAAACACCTATCTGGTGGGTAACTACCTTTAAGTCTAAGTCCTAGTATGAACCCACCCACTGATCGACTAGGACTTAATACTTGTCGAGTACTTGTAGTCAAAACACCTATCCGGTGGGTAACTACCTTGAAGTCCAAGTCCTAGTGTGAACCCACCCACTGATCAACTAGGGCTTAATACTTGTCGAGTACTCAATAAATGACAATAAAGGTGACCAATAGCAAAGACCGGAAGGCCCATTTGTCAGCAACAACCCTTTCTTAATGTAGAAACGTTTGCGGTATTCACCTGAATTGCTTTGAGCTCCGCATGAGAAGTAGTCCTGCAGAAACAATGTACGGCAAATAAAAGTTAAGATTTGTTAGATTTGTTGGGATAGACTGTAGACAGCACTCCGCACAGCGGATACAGTTAGTATTCAAGGGACCGTTTCCCCCATTGTTCGCATTCAACTGCATATTGATCAATATAATGCGATTTTTGATCCCATTCTTATAACATTGTCCTTATTTAAGTATTATGATTGAATATTCTTAGTTCCTTTTAAACATTACAATTTTTCTCAAGTGAGATGATGTGTCAGATGATGAGCGCAATGTTATTAATGAATCGCAACTCTGCATTTAAACGTTCTTACCCAGATGCTGTTAATTGGCTGGCTACTGTGCGAAGCTGACTCTTGTACAGCGTAATCACTCCTAAAGAAAACCACAAAGTAGTGCAATTAAAAAACGAAAGGTGACACGAAAGCATTAACGACAAGCTTTAGTACTGCTCTATTGAATTTTTATCAGAGGGCATAATAACAGAATTTAAAATCTGCCCAGTGTCTAGTTTGTGTTTGGGTTGATGAGAAGTTAGAAGTTAAATTCTGAAACTGTATGTATCTTCAAGGCTTCTTCAACACTAGGTAGGCAAGGTAAGTTTGAATTAGAGCCAAGTGCCTCATCAGGCTGGATCTTCTGTAGCATGAAGCGTAAAGGAATATTTCTTTCCCCCCCGGACGGTACCCCTGTCCATCGAAAAACCCCCCCAGTATTAAATTCGCTGGTACCCATTTATACACCTGAGTGCAAGAGTAAGGCAATGAGAGAGTAAGGTGTATTAGCCAAGAACACAACACAGTCACTCAGACAGGGCTTGAACCCTGAATTCTTGATACGGCGTCCAAACTGACACTAACACCACGCCCACAGAGCTGGACACAGTACATACCTATTTGTGATGGTTGCATCCCAGACTTCAGCAAGCTTTCGATGAGAAACACAACAAATTTCGCCTACAAACACAATAGTAACAAAAAAAATCAGAGGCAAAAATGATATGAAAACTTGACATTCCCTCTTTCTCTCATTCTACCCTAGAACAATCACTCAGTGGAAATGTCTGCCTCAGTCTCTCTTTGACAACACTAATTTAACTAAATTTATACAGTCCGTTTCCTCATTCAATCACAGTCCTGTAAACTAGAAATGTACTTTGCATTTTTCTTTTTTTCGTAATATTTAGCTGACCCAACGCCATCAATCTTCGGCTTCGAAGGGTAGGCGTTACTGGTAAATAATAATATAAGAATACATTCATACTCAAGAACAGCTGCTCGTATTAAGCGTATCAGGTTAGGAGGGGGGGGGGTGGGCAATTTTCTTTTACCTCCTCCTCATTGTAGTAGCTGCCATCATTGCCGCATTTCTCCCTTCCTTTAGCCACATTGAAGAAGCAAAGAGTGGGAACAAGGTTCTACAGAACAAAATATTTAGAACGATAGTAAAGGCAGTCAAGGTCGAAAAAATGGTCATATTAATCAGCCGTGTTCGAGCTATCGTAAGGCAATAAAGGACGTAAAAATGGATGAATCTATCCACTGGAAAGCTTGATTTGGAAAACCTCCAGGGCTGTGCATAGCAGGTTTCTTCCACTTTGCTTTTACTCTACAAAACTTTGTTGTAAACACAACAATATAAACCCTTTTAAGAATATTTGTGAAATGATCAAATTCACTAACCACTATTGGAGAACGATCCTCAGCAGATACACCATCGAGAAGTTTGTTGTCATAAAACAGCCTGTTAAAAGAAATCAAATCTCGTTTTCATATTTACCAATAGAAAAAATGTATTAAAACGTAATGCTGATAAGGCTTGTTATCAAGTTAACACATAAGACTTTCAATCACCTTTTGGGCGGGCATCTTTTACGATAGACGTAAAAATTTTTCGAGGATTGTTGCCACCTAATGTTCCGGAAGGTCTTTCAAGAAAGTTCGGAGCGAAAATATTCTTCTTCATAAATGTGCGGATGGTTGAGTGCTCGGAAAACGTCTTGTCCAAAAGTTTGTTAGTCAGGAAATTATAGGGGGAGTTAACAAAATATCAAAGAAAGAGATAAGAACTATCAGAATAGAAAGCCTGTACGCCTTCACACAGAATTGCGTGATTAGTAAATAAGTAAACATTTTAGCGGAGAGACTACCAACCTGTTGGATATGGCACTTATTGCGGGATGGCAACGGTACTGAAAAATAAGCAAACTATAGTTATTATTGCTAACAAGGAGTGTAGCAATTTATTGAGGAGTTGCTAATATCCCAAGTAACTCAATGCCTCCTTGATGTAGTTTTAAGTAGGAACATTCGATAAACATTCGATTCTTCAGGATGCGTAAAATCAAATTTAATTCACGTATTTGACGACCCCCCAATTGAATTCAGATTGACAATCGTATACCACTGAATTATAGCGACTGTGAAAGAAACGCCAAACTTTGCGTAAGAAGTTTAACTTCTTTTCTTGTTTTTCCGCTCAGCGTGAAAATGCTTAGCAGATACATCATGGAGTAACAGTCTAACTCAGACAACAAGAAACTGAAGGACAGCTGAGAAGGTTATTTGGAGCAAAATACCTGTGTTCTTAACAGTGTTGGTTCATATCCCTGAAAATAGCAAATGATAAAAAGTCATAGTTTGTATAAATAAAATGAAGGGCTAAACGCGTTTTCGCTACTTGTAAGACAACAATTCGATACACTACTTAATTAAGGAACTCGTTGCTTCCTCAAGCTCTGTCAAAAATTAAGTTTGTGGTAGGTACACATTCTGTTTTATGTTCATTCTTACGTTATTGATTAGCGCGCACGCTGTGTTGGGTTAATAGTTGTGTTAGCGTTGAGCGCGCGCACTGTGTTAGGTTAATAGTTGTGTTAGTGGTGAGCGCGCACTCTGTGTTGGGTTAATAGTTGTGTTAGTGGTGAGCGCGCGCACTGTGTTAGGTTTGTTTGATGCGTCGGTGAGACGCACGCACTTTGTTTTGTGTTTAAAGGAAGAAGATTTGTAACCCCCAGAAAGGTCAGAAAAAAATCAGCGCGCCAGGTGAGAAAGGAACTCACGACCCTACGTTATTGACAAGCGCGCGTCTCGTTCCCATGTTTGATTGTTACGTCACTGTTAATCTCGCTGCTCTGTTGTATTATAGCGTAAGCGATGAGCGCGCATGCTGCATTGTGTTTGACTGTTAAGTTACTGATAACGCACACACTAAGTTAAGATTAGTTGTAACGTGAGTTCTGTTTTGTTTCATTGTTACATAAGTGATTAGCGAGCGATCTGTTATGTTTCACTCTTAAAGTAGTGATAAGCGCCAACTAAACTACGTTTTCCGCTTTATTCTTACGTTAGTGATAAGGGTGCGCTCTGCTTTGTGTCCGTTTGTTATGTTATTGTTAAGCCCACACTATATTTGTACTTCTTTGTTACGTTGGTGATAAACACGCACTCTGTTTTACGCTTCATTCTCAAGTTATAAAGGAACGTTCTGTTTTGCGTTTGATTGTAACGTCAGTAATAAGCACATACTATATTTTTTTAATTTAATGCTACGTTAATGATAGGAGCACAATTTTGTTGGTTCATTGCTACGTTAGTGAGAAGCGCACAATCTATTTGTACTTTATAGTGAATTGAGTGATGAGCAAAGGCTCTGTTTGTGTTTGATTGTTACGTTAGTGAAACGCGCACACTATATTTTGTTTTTGAGTGTTACCTCAGTAATAAGCGAACACTATATTTGTACCTCATTGCTACGGTAGTAATAAGCACCACCTCTGTTTTGTGTTTGATTGTAGCGTTAGTCCTAAGCGTACACTATATTTTGTGTTTGAGTGTTAGGTCAGTAATAAGCGCAAACTATACTTGTGCTTCATTGCGAGATTAGTAATAAGCGCACGCTCTATTTTGTGTTTGATTGTTACATTAGTGATAAGCGCAGACTATATTTGTACCACGTTGTTAGGTTAGTATTAAACGTACGCTCTGTTTTGTATTTGATTGTTACGTTAATGATAAGCGCACACCATATTCGCACTTCATTACTACGTTAGTGATAAGCGCACGTTCTGTTTTGTGTTTGATTATAAAGTAAGTGATAAGCGCACACTATATTTGCACTACATTGTTACGTCAGTGATAAGCGCACGCACTGTTCTGTATTTTGTTCCGTTAGTGATATGCGCACACTACATTTGTACATGCATCATTACTACGTTAGAGAGAAGCGCACGCTTTGTTTTGTATTCGATTGTTACGTTAATGATAAGCGCACACTATTTTTGTACTTCATTGTTACGTTACTGATAAGCGCAAGCTCTGTTTTGTATTTGAATGTTACGTTGGTGAAAAGCGCACACTTTATTTGTCCTTTATTGCTACGTTAGCGATAAGAAAACGCGCTGTTTTGTACTTCATTGTTCAGTAGTGATAAGCGAGAGCTCTGTTTTGTATTTGATTGTTACTTTAGTGATAAGCGGAAACAATATTTGTATTTCTTTGCTACGTTAGTGGCAAGTGTAAGGTCTGTTTTGTGATTGATTGTAACGTTATTGAGAAGAGCGTACTATATTTGTACTACATTGCAACGTTAGTGACAAACGCACGCTCTTATTTGAGTTTTACTGTTATGTTACTGTAAAAAGGAAACTATATCTATACTTTATTTCTACATTACTAATGAGCGCATGCTCTGTTGATTGTTACCTTAATAAGAAGTGCACACTATATTTGTACTTCATGGTTACGTCAGTGATAAGCGCACGTTCTGTTTTGTAAGTGATTGTTGGGACGCTCTGTTTTGTATTTGAATGTTACGTTAATGATAAGGACACACCATATTTGTACATTATTGCTACGTCAGTGATAAGCGAACGCTTTGTTTTGGCTTTGATTGTTATGTTAGAGATAAGCGCACACTATGTTTGTACTTCATCACCACGTTAGTGATAAGCGCACACTATATTTGTACCTAATTGCATACGTTAGTGATAAGCGAACGCTCTGTTTAGTATTTGATTGTTACGTTAGTGATAAGCGCACACTATATTTGCACTTCATTACAACGTTAGTAGTAAGCAAACGCTCTGTTTTGTGTTTTATTGTAACGTTAGTGATAAGGGCATACTATGTTTGTACCACATCGTTACGTTAGTAATAAGCGCACGCTATGTTTTGGTCAGGTGATTGCTACGGTCAGTAATAAGCGTACACCATATTTGTACTTTATTGCAACGTTAGTGATAAGTGGACAATCTGTTTTGTGTTTTATGGTTGCGTTAGTAAGAAGCGGACACTATATTGTACTTAACTACATTGCTACGTTCGAGATAAGCGCGCGCTCTGTCTTGTATTTGATTGTTACGTTAGTGATAAGCGCACACTATATTTGTACTTCATTACTACGTTAGACTAGTGATAAGCGCACGCTCTGTTCTGTGCTGATTGTAATGTTAGCGATAAGCGCAGACTATAATCGTACTACATTGTTACGTTAGTGTTAAGCGTACGCTCTATTTTGTATTTGATTGTTACGTTAATAACAAATTCACACTATATTAGTACTTCATTGTTACCTTAGAGATAAGCGCACGCTCTTTTTTGTATTTGAATAATACGTCAATGATGGGCGCACACTATCTTTGTACTTCATTATTACGTTAGTAATAAGCAGATTCCTTATTTTGTATTCGATTGTTACGTTAGCAATAAGAGCACACTATATACGTGCTTCATTCTAACGTTAGTAATAAGCACCAGCACTGTTTTGTGTTTTATTGTTACGTCAGTAAGAAGCGCACGCTATATATGTACTTCATTTGTACGTTACTGATAACCGCACGCTATGTTTTGGTCAGGTAATTGTTCCGGTTAGTAATAAGAGCACACTATATTTGTTCTTGATTGCCACGTTAGAGATAAGTGGACACTCTGTTTTGTATTTGATTGTTACGTTAGTGATATACGCACACTCTTTTTACACCATATTGTTACGTTAGTGATATGCCCACGCTCTATTTTGTGCTTTATTGTTACGTTAGTAGGAAGCGAACACTATATTTGTACTTTACCATTACGTCAGTGATAAGCGCACGTTTTGTTTTTGTAACTGATTTTAGCGTTAATGATGAACGCGCACTATATTTGTATTTTATTGCTTCGTTAGTGATAATCGCATACTATATTTGTACTTCATTACGAGACTAGTAATAAGCGCACACTCTGTTTTGTGTTTGATTGTTATGTCAGTGATAAGCGCACACTATATTTGCACTTTATTTCTACGTTATTGATAAGAGCGCGCTCTGTTTTGTACTTGATTGATAGATTGATAGATTGTTAGTCAGTGATAATTGTTACGTCAGTGATAAGCGCTTACTTTATTTTGTGTTTGAGTGTTAGGTCAGTAATAAGCGCAAACTATACTTGTACTCCATTGCGAGATTAGTAATAAGCGCACGCTCTGTTTTGTATTTGATTGTTACGTTAGTGAGAAGTGGACGCTCTGTTTTGTATTTGACTGTTACGTTAATGATAAGGACATCCTATATTTGTACATTATTGCTGCGTCAGTGATAAGCGAACGCTCTGTTTTGGTCTTGATTGTTATGTTCCCGATAAGTGCACACTATATTTGTACTTCATTACTACGTTAGTAATAAGCAAACGCTCTGTTTTGAGTTTGATTGTAACGTTAGTGATAAGCGCACTATATACTTGTACCACACTGTTACGTTAGTAATAAGCGCACGCTCTGTTTTGAATATGATTGTAAAGTTACTGATAAGTGCACACTATGTTTTTACTTTATTTGCACGTTAGTGATAAGCGCACGCTATGTTTTGGTCAGGTGATTGTTACAGTTAGTAATAAGCGCACACTATATTTGTACTTTATTGCTACGTTAGTGATAAGTGGATAATCTGTTTTGTGTTTTAATGTTGCGTTAGTAAGAAGGGCACACTATATTTGTACTACATTACTACGTTCGAGATAAGCGCGCGCTCTGTCTTGTATTTGATTGTTACGTTAGAGATAAGCGCACACTAAATTTGTACTACGTTGTTTGGTTAGTGTTAAGAGTACGCTCTGTTTTGTATTTGATTCTTACGTTAACGATAAGCCCACAATATATTTGTACTTCCTTACGACTTTAGTGATAAGCGGACGCTCTGTTTTGTGTTTGAGTGTAACGTCAATGACAAGCGAACACTATATTATTTTGTCCTTCCTTGTTACGTTAGTGATCAGCGCACGCTCTGTTTTGTATTTGATTGTTACGTTAGTGATGAACGCACACTCTTTGTACATCACATTGTTACGTTAGTGATATGCCCAAGCTCTGTTTTGTGCTTTATTGTTACGTTAGTAGGAAGCGAACACTATATTTGTACTTTACCATTACGTCAGTGATAAGCGTACGTTTTGTTTTGTAATTGATTTTAGCGGTAGTGATAAGCTCACACTATATTTGTAGTACATTGACAAGTTAGTGATAAGAGCTTGCTCTGTTTTCAATTTTATTGTTGCGTTAGTGACAAACGCGCACTATATTTGTATTTTACTGCTTCGTTAGTGATAAGCGCACGCTCTGTTTTGTGTTCTATAGTTACGTCAGTGAGAAGCGCACATTATATTTGAGCTTTATTTCTACATTGGTGATAGGCGCGCGCTGTGTTTTGCACTTGATTGCAACATTAGTGATAAGCGCATACTTTGTTTTGTGTTTGGGAAGTGCACACTATATTTGCACTTCATTGCTACCTCAGTGATAAGCGCACGCTCTGTTTTGTATTTGTTTTTTACTTTATTGATAAGCGCACACTATATTTGTACTACATTGTTACAATAGTGATAAGCGCACGCTCTGTTTTCTATTTTATTGTTACTTTAGTGATAAGCGCAAACTATTTTAGTACTTCATTGCTACGTAAGTGATAAGCACACGCTCTGTTTCGTATCTGATTGTTATTTTACTGATAAGGTAACATTTTATTTGTAATTTATTACTACGTTAGCAATCAAGCAAGCTGTGTTGGTGTTTGATTGTAGCGTTAGTGAAAACTGTACACTATATCTGTACTTCATTGTTACGTTAGTGATAAAGCACACTGTGTTTTTGTTTGATCGTTGCGTTATTGATACGCGCACACTATATTTGTATTTTAATGCTACCTTAGTGATAAGCGCACGCTCTGTTTTGCATTTGATTTTTACGTTACTAATAAGCGCACACTATAGTTGTAGTTTATTGGTACGTTAGTGATAAGCGAACGCTTTGTTCTGTGCTTTATTATTTTTACGTTAGTAAGAAGCGAACACTTTATTTGAACTTTATTTCAATGCTACAACAGTGATAACCGTACGCTCTGTTTTTTGTTTTATTGTTACACGAATGAGAAGCGCACAGTATATTTGTACTACATTGTGACGTTAGTGATAAGCGCACGCTCTGTTTTGTATTTCATGTACTATATTGTTACCTTAGTGACAAGTGCACGCTCTGTTTTGTGTTTGATTGTAACGTTATTGAGAAGCGCACACTTAATTTGTACTTCTTTGTTACGTTAGTGATAAGTGCACGGTGTGTTTTGTGCTTTATTGTAACGTTTGTAATAAGCGCACGCTATTTTTGTACCTTATTGCTACGTTAGTGATAAGCACACGCTCTGTTTTGTGTTTTATCGTTACGCTAGTTAGAAGCGCGCATTATATTCGTACTTTATTGTGACGTTAGTGATAAAGGCACCCTCTGTTTTGCATTTGATTCCTATGTTAGTGATAACAGTTATATTTTTACTTCATTGCTACGTTGGCAATGAAGCAGGCTGTGTTTGTGTTTGACTGTTACGTTAGAGAGAAGTCCAAACTATATTTGTACTTTATTGCTACGTTAGTGATGAAGTACGCTGTGTTTGTGTTTGATTGTTAGGTTAGTGAGAAGGGCACACTTTATTTACACTTTATTGCTACGTTAGTAATAAGCGAACGCTCTGTTTTGTATTTGTATGTTACGTTAGTGATAAGCGCATACTATATTTGTAATTCATTGCTACGTTAGTGATACATTACGCTGTGTTTGTGTTTGATTGTTATGATAGTGATAAGCACACAGTCTGTTTTGTGTTTTATTGTTGTGTTAGTGATAGGCGCAAGCTCTATTTTGTGTTTGATGGTTTATTTAGTCTTAAGCGCATGCTGTTCTTCCTTTAGTTGTTACGTTAGTAATAAGCGCGCGGTCTATTTTGTGTTTCAAAGGGGACAGCTGGCGGTATTATTACTCGAAATACCGATAAGTCGTAACTGTTCATTAGTAAAATGGTTAAAATGTTTGCAGCTCCTCAACTGGTGTTTGATAAGAGCGTGCTCAATTTTTTGCTTGATTGTTAAGTTCGTGATAAGCGCGTGATCTCTATCGTGTTTGACTGTTGCGTTATGGATAAGCACAGGCTCTGTTTTTTGATTGATATTATTACGTTACTGACACTGTTGATTTTTATAGATGTGTTAAGCCTATATATTATTTTCTACGCCATCCAGGTAAACTTACCATCTTCATAAGTCGATCAAACAAAGTTTGCTCAAGGCCAGCTTCGTGTTCAGGCTCCGAACCTTGAATCGTAGGACTCAATTGCTAAATAAGAACAAGGTCAGGATAATTATTGTATTTACACTATTTAGATATTTGCGCTCACAACGTCTCTCTATATCAACTTCTCTTACAGGAAATGTTACCATTTAGAACGCGACTGAACCAACAAAGAAAGACAAAAACTAGAGATTGCCTGAGGGAACTGAGGTTTCAAAAGAGGCCAGGACAAATGAATTGATAGATAAATAAGAAAAATCAAGGTTAGTCTTCATTGCGAAATACTTCTACGAGAGGAGATATGCATGCAACTTAGATTTGGACAGGAGAGTTTGACCTGCTTATAATGAAGCTATATGCGGAGGAAGGTCTTAAACATTTCTTAGTCTGACAAAGTCTGTAACAAAGAAGTATTGAGGGGTTTCGGTGAGTAGAGGGCATCTGTTATCAAAACAAGATAGCGAGTCTGGCTTAGTCATAGCCTACGGCATGGTGATCTTGTCCTGTAAGTGATTGACGGGGTGAATCGAGTACGGAAGAGCCCAACTGGAGGACCTCGAGCGGGAATGTTGGATAGAGTGAAGGATGGCGGCCTTAATGTCTACTTACTTTTGGGTCACCAACCAGGACAAGTTTCTGACATTCAAATCTAATTGGAAAGAAAAAAAAAATGTTATTGGAAACGTGAAACCACAAGAACCACACGCAGACTAAATACATTCAGTAAGGTTCCACTTCAAAAGGACAGATTTCATTTTCTTTGTCGTCCATCTAGGATATGGATAAAGATCAAAGATTTGTTTGAGAACATCACCTGGCCATGGGTAGAAGAGAGGCTGGTTCTGTCATTTGACTGCATTCATCCAGGAGTAGAATCTATCAGTTAGATAAATGTGATAAATATCATAAGATAATGACAAGTCCAATCCTAACAATATTCTCTAAACAACTTAGCATGTCTGGGTAAGTCTACGTCCCATGGCAGATTGGTTGCCCTGTGTGAAAAATGTTTGGACGAAGGCACGCAGGGACGGCCACGTGACAACCAAAATTTTGCGCATACATGTCACTCTTTCGTACCCATGGTGCTCCACGCGCATCATTAAAAATAAAGAAGGAGATAAACTGAGCATGCGCAGGGTTAAAGAAGTTAACAGAGCGGATCGAACAAATTCAATCTTTTCAGAACAAGACGATGTCTAGACGAGTTAAAACCCTTTTTAAAATGTGAGTACATCTTACATCAGCTCTAGACAGTTTCTGGACAAAACTTTGATATAACGATGAGATGAGAATGTGGTTGGCTGACAAGGTTTTACATTTGAACAAACGTTGCTCTAAGGGCTTCGTATTCAGTCATAACTGAGATAATAGAGACCTTTAGATTCGAGGAAGAGGACGAATACGAGATTTAACTTAAAGTTTTTCGCGTATTCTCAAATAATAGACACGCCGGACAGCTTCATTGTAACTTGTGTCCGCTAACAAGACATTCTCGTTAAAACTCGTGGTAGAATGACAAGGGCTACCAAGTTTTCCCGCCAAAATAACGCTGGTTCACGCAAGCGCACTACCTAGTATTGAGAAAATCTCGTTCTCCTAGTCGTACTCGTCTTAGAATCTAAAGGTCTAAATTCAAGAACGAGTACGACTAGGAGAACGAGACTTAATATAAAAGTTTTTCCGGTATTCTCAAATAATATACACCCCGGAAAGCTACATTGTACTTTTTCAGCACAAAAGTTAGCATGGTTATTTTTATTGAAGGAACTTAAACTTTCTCCAAATCGCAAAATGATAAAAATTCCATTATTTCATATCTTGTTTTCCCCACTACCGCATTCCAGCTAACACTCCTAGTAGAATAACGATTATTTTAACATTTTCCCCCCAAAATGACGCTGATTCACGCGTGAGCACTATTTACTATTAGCCGTTCTCGTCTCAGAATCAAAAGGACTCTAGTATAGTTAGCCACTCAACATACTTGAAACTTCAACTTATCCAGGCAAGGAAACACACAGGCAGCACACGTGACACCCACCACTCGAACCTGAGATAATTTCTGAAAAAGAAAGAGAAACAACAAGATTTTGCACAACTAGACACTTCCAAGTTTTCAAGTCAAGAATGGGTTGTTAAGACAACAAAAGGGAACAACTAACATCAGAAATTTACACCTTCATCAAAGTAGAAAGCGCTATTTGATAAACGTGGTGTACTAATATCATCACATGAGTGATGGAACACAAGAGCCAGCCGAGAGCTAGGCGAGCCAGTCGGGAAGTTGTCGGCGACCGACCATCTTTCACCAAAACGCTTCCAATACTTGTGGGTTCAAAAACGGTCAGGTTATTGCGACCAACGACTACCAGTGTTATCGAAGAGAGATATACAGTTGAATTGCGTTTTTTGTTGTTGTTCTCACCTTTTTATTTTCTCCCAACTTATGTCGTTCAATGCTCTTTCGAACGTAGCTAGAAGAAAACACAAAGTTGAAAAAAATTTTAAAAAGTACAATCTTTACAAAAGTGGACGGAAAGGTTATTATTCGTTCAAGTATTCTCACCCCCCCCCCCCCCCCCCCCCCAAAACCTTTTTCAATGTTGGGGCATCCCAAAGGACATCCCCATTGAGGGGGACAGTAAAGTCAAAAATTAACCTTCTTTTCCCCTAAAATGGGAAGGTCTTTTTCAGAGGGGGAGGGGCCAGGGAAGGAATAAACACCACTTCCGGGGCCCAATTTGCCGCCCACCCTTTGGTACACCCGGTTTGTTGATTTGCCCCACCCCCCCCCCCCCCCCCCTACCCAAAACCTTTTTCAATGTTGGAGCATCACAGATGACATGCGCATTGAGGAGTACAGTTAAGTCAAAAATTAGCCTGCTTTAGCACTAGAATGGGAACGTCATTTGACGACGGGAGAGTGCACGGAAAGGACTAAACTCGACTTCCGGGGCCCAATTTGCCGCTCATCCATTGGTCAAGCCAGTTGTTTGACTTGCGCGCGCCGTCGTCAACTGACGTTCCCTTTCTGTCGCTAAATCAGCCTATTGTTGCAGGGGGTGGGGTGGGAAGAGACAATTATAAAAGTTGAAGAGTGTCAACCTTTCAACACATTTGACTACGACCACAGTGAACGACGACTGGGTCTACTTTTCTAATTGAGTTCAAATCTTCTACTAGTGAGTACTTACGTTCTTTCGGATGGTGTCAGTTCAGTTTTGAGTAAAGCTTGAAGTTCTTTCAGTTCTTGACTATCGCTTCCTGTACTGTGCACACTGTAAGGTAACACTGGTTTGGCGATTTTACGAATGCTGCCCACGCGAACAAATTCATCGAAACCCAATTCCAACAGTCTGTACGGGAATAAATCATTAAATGATTATAAATTACCCATATATATAAGCTTCATTCTTTTTTGCTCTAAGTGACTTCACCCGCATGTTTTCAGCTTTCTGTAATATGCCCTCCTTTGTCGCAGTTAGGGAGCTTAGGCAACAACAACAGCGACGGCTACGAGAACGTCGCTTAAAAAGTGAATTCGCGCTGCATCAAAATTTTTCGCCCTTGTTCCATCTCCTTCAGTTCGTCAAATGTTAGTAAATTGTTCTGGCGTTGAATTCTAAAAGACCGTATCAAAGTTCAGGAAATAAAAAGAAACTTTTTGTCTTGTGTTCTCGTCCTACACAAAACGTGAACTTAGGCACTTTTACTTCGTAGTCACGCGGTGCCGGTAAAGATGCCGTCGTCGTCGTCGTTGCTCAATTTAGGTTTCTGGGAAACTGCCCACCTACCCCTCCCCTAAGCTAACATTAACACCTAATTGTCACTTAGGGCAAAATGATGGCTTAGGGGAGGGGTAGGTGGGCAGTTTTCCAGAACCCTAAATTGATCCCTATTGCTTAAGCTCCCAATTAATTATCCTGCTTATTAAGATGCAAACGAAAACGAAAGTCCAATTTTAGCAATTCCTTCCCCGATGATCGTGAGCCCCTCTTGTCAGCTAACAGCTTAATATTTATTCTCCATCGATAAGCTTCCGGGCTTCCGGATATAAGCTACTCCCTCATATTCCCCCTCCCCACCAAACCGTAAAACAATTTACGAAGTTAGGCTTGCAAGTTTCTGGCTTTACCGTGCTAAGCCTCAGTCATGAGACAGCCACAATGATATCAGCGTCTTGTGTGAGAGTATCACTTTGCGCCTAAAATTCATCTTTTCGAAAAATTGTAACTGTTGTATAGTCCCTGTACGCCGTTTTCCCAGTCCTTCTCGGTCAATTCGCCTCGAGGCGAACGGGCGGACGCTTGGTCCACGTGACCCGAAACGCATCGACCTGTTAAGAAAACGATCCTGTCCAGAGGTTATGTTAAATGAAGCTGACCAGAAGGAATGCTAAGTCTTACCCTAATAGAATCCGATCCACGGCGACGTTTGTTGTTGAGGAAACCAGAATCTTTAGCTGAGATTGAGTAGTACTGTTAAAGAACAACAAGCAAGATATTATATCACTGAAATGCTGGTTTTCGTGATACCATTCTCTAAGAAGGACACCCTTGGAATCCGCATATAGAGTACGCGTTAGAGAGGAGTCCTTCTTCTGGAATCGAAGAAGATGGCTGACTAATCAGAGGAAGTAACTGTGCCAATTTTAGCACTGGAGCACACGTACCAACTTTGCGGTATGGCCATTACCTTACGCATGCGCACAACCATATCACCCCGGAGTAACTGTCTGCGACCCTTTTAGGGAGGTGTCCTCTGAGGGTGGATTTCCACTGTCACGTGATTTTTGCCTGAGTACGCGCGTAGGCACGTAAAAATACGCCACAGACAGAATTCACTGCATCAGTTGGCAAAGTTAACATCTACGAAAAAATGACCTCTTGAGCGTCACTGGTTCGCTTAGGCCAGATGGTCTTATTGAAAATTCACAGGACCCGTTTTTGCTGTGCTCTTTTAGGTAAGTAAAAGATTTATAGCACTGATTTAGGATTATTTAAAGTTTCCCTGAACTGAATGGAAGCCAACAGAGATAAGCAAGTCTTTGAATGAGCTGAATAAGTTCTTCTGAGGGAGCAAGTCTTGGCTTCAATCGTTTCTGACTTCCTCAAGAGAAACAGCATAAGAATTTAAATAACCAGGCGCCTTAATTACGATGTAGTATAAAGCGACGATACTTCTCAAAAGGAATTAAAGGAGACTCATCACATACAAGTAAGTTAACCATACCTCTGGTTATTGAGAGAATCGCGGACTTTAAATAACTCTACTAGATATAGAACAGCGACAGCAAGAAGAAAGCTTTTTCCTGCGCCAAATACTCCTAATGGTAAACAAAAACAAAAGTATGATAATTTTGGGGAAATACTGAGAAGAAATTGTTAAACTGTGAAAGGTTTGAACCCAGGAGTCATTTCAAAAGTAGTTTGAGTGTGATCGTCCGGGTGAACGTAGTCCTGGACAGGACTGTTGTTGTTGACAGTGACTGACGTTTCGACAACCTGTGCGGTAGTCATCTTCAGAGTCAAAGTGACTTGTATTACGTCAATTGATGGTATTAAACTCTCGTCATTGACCTGATTGGTCAATTAAGTCGCGACGTTATTGATGCCCTGTCAGTTAAGCCGTGACGTCATTGGCTGTGAAGACTCGTAATGACATTGGTGCGTTCCGATCATTGTCACAGTTAAACAGTCGTTTATGGTTAATCAAATTGTCGGCTGTCCAGTCATTCCAGACATTACTAAACTAAACCAAAAAGGACACAGGCTATGGGAAAGCAAGAAGGGGAAATAAAGCACAAGTGTGAACTTACCGTGAATCAAACAAACTGGCGGGAAGGGAGAAGTTATATCCACTGACGAGTTGAACATTCTTGCACATGACAGAAGCGCGGTTGCTTGGTCCTAGAATGACGAAAAAATGACTGAACCTCGGTAACCACTTAGTATCCTATGTTCGCATACCCGGCGAGTACTCGACAAAGTTTTCTTCGGGGAGGCTCCGCTCCGAGGTCCAACTCCTTACCCTTTTATACGGCATTTTTGACAGAAAAAGCACCCCTTTCGTGTACCCTCTATCGAGAATTGGTACCCCTTTCACACCCCTACCTTTGCATTCCTTTCAAATGTTGTAAATGCACTGACTTATAGATATGAATAAATCACAAAATCAGAAGGTTTTCTCTGATTTGTTGCCTAACAGGTTTGATTCGTGGGTGGTAAAAGGCAAACATCGCTATTCAACTCGTTTTGCAGGTTTTTGTTGCGCGTTTTATTGCAGCTTAAAGACATGCAGCTCCACGAAGACAAAGTTGAGGCTCTAGCGCACTGCGTTGATTCTTTTTTTTAATTTATCAGGAGATAACTAAGAATGATGGTGCTTATGAAAAAGAAAAGAGAAAAGAAACGATAAGGTGATCTGCATCTCTAATAACTAAAAAAAAGCGCACTCTTGTTATATATAATATTATGATGTTGATGGTAATATGGAAAGTAAGCATTCGCGACGTACCTTGTTTAAATCAAACCGAGCTATCATTTCCTCTGCTAAGCTTTCCTGCACGCAAACAGAACAAAAGAAAGAGACTCATTGTAAAAATATGCCGAAATAATTAAAAACATTACAACAACAGGAAGTAAATGAAGCTGAATTACCGTTACTTCTGATGGAAGATCCAGTTGGTTACTGCAGGTTGTTAACATTGGGGGAACAAAGGATGACGTTCGAGATGTGTTTCGTACGTTCGGTTCAACTGTCTGCTCTCTGCAACATAATCACAAGAAAACAAACTATGCATTCTGTATAGTACTTTTATTGTGACGTTCCTGTTCCCAGGTTTAGTCACACAACACTTAGGCTTTACAAAATTCAAAGGTAGTAGAATCGGTAACCGATTGTTTCGACACGAATTTAAGCAGAAAAATTACACGTTCTCTTCCAGAACGAAACGAAAGTCGAGGTCAATAAAAACGCAACAAAAGAAAAAGAAAGAGGTTAACATACAGCCATATTGACCGAAGGAGCTTAGTCAATAAGGGATTTATTGTATGGTTGACAAGAAACCTATTTCTTGCAGGACCAAACGCGGGATATCCCGAGCGGGAAAGATGGGTCCATCTTACCCGCGAGTGTAGCCAATCAGAACGCAGGATTCACTTCATTTCATCCGCTCGAGGATTCAGCCATATAATAATACCAGATCTTGCAGAATCCAGAATTACACACGAGGTTAAGTCCGATTCGAAGAATATGGGTTAGCCTATGGGTTAGCCTGCTGGCTATACAAGAGTAGGAGACCTTCAGTTTAAGAGTGATAAGGGTTTACAACTAGAAAAATCTTTCACCCACAGCCGCTTCAGCGATCCTTTAGTAGGGTACCATCACGAGATCGGGTTTTGCCACATGTGCCCCAATAATAAATAAATAAATAAATAAAATAAATAAATAACGATTTGCAGGTAGCACATCCACATAGTGGTTCTTCGTCTACCTGATTCCTGGTCGAATTGGAATTTGGAAATGTTGGTTTTTTAGGAGAGGGGAAAACCGGAGTACCCGGAGAAAAACCTCTCGGAGCAAGGGAGAGAACCAACAACAAACTCAACCCACATATGGCGTCGACGCCGGGATTTGAACCCGGGCCACATTGGTGGGAGGCGAGTGCTCTCACCACTGCGCCATCCCTGCTCCCCTGTTAATAAGAAATAGCAGACATTATAGGCAGCTCCAAAATCTGAACTACGCATGCCCCAGCGACTGATGTCTTTGAAAAACAGCTCAGTACAATTTCGAAAGAGAAAATTCTTCGGAATTAAACCCACCTTTGTAGAATGTAAGATAGTACGGGCATGTTCTGTAGTTTGACATGTTCCTCAATATTACTGATACAGGTCAGTTCTGTGCCAGCATTGCAAGCCATCAAGGCATGAACGGTTTCTGTGTTAAACACAACAACGAAACAGTAATCAACGACATAAATTAAAGAAACAATACTGAATGTGCTTCATACACAATATGAACTGTGCATGTGTCGTTTTGTGCCACAATTGTCGACCACAAGAAAAACCTTAGTCATTTTTTGTAAGTCCCAGGTCGTTTTTATATATTTGCTTTTGTTTGTCCTTCGAGTAAACGTAAGGTAACAAACCGACCATTGGATTCTCTAACAAGTTCCTGGGGACTTACCTCCACTTGTCCAATTTGAAGGCGAATAACCACTGAAATGTTAGGAGATAAAAAACATGTAGTTGTTAAGAAAAAACCAAAAGGCAGGGTTACAGTTTACACTGATGTGAGAAAAAAATCAGAGTGAATGTTTAAGCGCGAGGTACTAATTATTGGAGACCGGACCATCATTTCTACGTGGGTATATGAGCCAATCAAAGGCCCATTTTTAATGGGTTATTTTGAAACCCTGAGCTTAACCGGGCCTTGGGGATGAAACCCACGACTTCTCGTTCAACAGACTAGCGTTCCAACAGTTGGCTAAAAGGCGGTCACTAAAGCTGATTTAGTTAGTATGAATCATAGAAAAGACAGCTAAATTTAATTGCTTTGTCTTGGTTTCTTTTGTTTCTGCTTATACAGGAATTGACTCCAAACAAGATTATTGAGTCAACTCACCAAGCTGACTCGTCCCCATTCGCTCGTAATCCTTTTTTGGGGGATATTTGAATTAATTATTAAGGAAAGCTCGTTCCCATCATCCCCCTCTCGAGTTTTTCCCTTGGCTCCAGCTCTCGCGCTTCTCGCTTGTCCTATGCTCTCCGCTAAGCCTTGGGAAAGCCTGGGAAGGAGGCAGACTGGGAAGACTGACTGCTTTCCCATTGTTTATGTAACGCTCCACAATTTGACTGACACGTCTGCATTGTATTACATGGGTGGGTTTTTCTCCAAAAGAAATGGTTCATCTTTCTTTACGGTTTGTGTCAGTCGTCGGCCTTTTGTTGATCTGCTACTCTGTTGCGCATAAGGCCTCCACAGTTGTTGGTCTGCATGCTATCTCAAAAAGTTTGTCCGGTTTCAGTAATGAGACGTTTTTACGGCATAGGTCATTAACCCATCGCTCAACCCCAACCTGGAGGACCAGGCTATGGAATTCGTCTTGTCTTATATCCAAACTCTGCCCAGCACGGTTGAACCCACCACGGACTGAGGTCCCAATTGGTACACCTTCAAGGACGCAAACCTCCCCACCACGTTAAGGGACAAAGTATAGGTCATCGACCTTTTAAATGGTGTTTTTACAGTCACGCAAAGAAAGCGATTTCAAACCTGATTGGTGTGATTTCTAGCTCTCCACTAGAGGACGGACCATAGTAAACACTGCTTGCTATGAATGTTGACTCTTGATCAAAAGAAAGCTTCTTTGATATGATCCAGATGTCATCTACAAATAAATGATGCACAAGCTACATACAGCTATCATAACAAAACACCTTTTTTTTTTCTAAAACCTTAAACTGATGTTACATGAGACGATTAGCAACGACGATTTTCCGGGCTGTACAATGTTGGAACACTGTTGGAACAATTCGAAACAATGTCGCAACAATGTTGAAACGCTCTGTTGGTAGTTACGAATTGTCCACAGTGACATCGCTTAAAAACGGACATTGGGAGTTTGTCGCTTCATTCCTGCAGATTAAGCCCTTTTCCTTGACTCCTTACAAGGCAAATACCTCTCTAGCATAAATATTTAGCGCCTGTCCCAACGATATTTGTCTTAGGAACAGTTGACTGTGTAAAGGTTTCTCGAGCAAGCGTGGACTGATCGGGTGGGGAGACTTATCTTTCTTAAGGTGATTCCCTAGTAAAAGAACCTAACATAGATTTTAGATGAAACTTGGTACACTGATGCAATAAGTCAAGAAGATGATAAAAAGGTAATAAAAAGTGGGGGTCACCGTGCTCGTTTTGACGTCACAATGCCGACAAATACGGCTATTTTGGACCCTTTGACATAAACCGCGCGCAGCCCAAAACTAGACAAAAAGGAAAGATTTTTTCAATGATGCATATGGTATCGCACAGAATTTGACTTTAATGTATTGTTTATCCACTTACGTACTAGAAAAATGCCTTTTAATGCCCTTGTTTTTACTTTACGCTCCAAAGTAGAATTAAATTGGACACGCGCTATTCGACACGTGATAGCTCAATCCGTACAATTTAGTAAACTTGCCAAAAAACTGAACATAGATTTGTGCCAATTTTTTTCTCACCGAAAGGAAGCACTGTCCTTATTAAAATCATGAAATAAAAAATGGGGGTCACCGTACTCGTTTTTGCGGTAGAGCTGCAGAAAGTGCGCACCAAATGCATTTTCCTTGATTTTTGAGAGAGGACTGGGGCGAGTTTCAATTAGAATGTATGCGAAAAGGGGAAGAAAGTACTAAAAAATCCGTTTTTACAGAATTTACATCGAGATATCACATTTAGGACACAATGTGATAAAGAAAGCGTTTAAATGAAAATCAAAGTGAATAAGCACAAATTAAACATCCACTAACGAGGTTCTCCGTGAGGAAGTCGAACTCAGCATCACGCGTACTGCTTACGTTATGCACATTCCCACCACACTGAGTCTCACCTCGACAAGAAACAACCGCGAGCAAAAATTGCAATAGCGTTTCTCTTCGGTCAGCTTCATTTTAGTAATGTTACTTCACATGCTCTTTTTTACGGAGGCCATCTTGTTATGCGCAGTAAGAGATGCGCAGTGCAAAACCAGGGAATCACCTTAAGTCATATAACACATTAAGCTAAGCGACAAAGCTAACCCAAATTGACCAATGGCAAAGCGGCAAATTAAGTAGCATCGTTCAAACTTTTCCCGCGCTAAATCTGCCTATTGTCGACGATACCGGTATCAGGTTTAATCAGAATCCAACTATTGTATAAGCGCATCATAGTAGCGCTTAAGTATACTGCTCCTGTGGTAGCTTGAACTCACCCTTTGAGTAAGTCGACGAATGCTCTTTTCGGGGTAGTTCCAGGTAAAGTCCTTTCTTCTTGTTTTCAAGATCACTGTTTCTCTTTTTCCCCCACTTCTGCAAAAGAATACGTTTTTAATTCGTGAATGCAATGAAATATGCCGTGGAGAAAACATTCGATTCATTTAGTCGATCTTTCTTTTGAAACCTTACTTGGATAAGGTTTGATGGCTATGCCATGCTGATGAGCCCTGATACGGGCAAAATAGCTGTCTATAGCTGCCACTGCCCGGATGATATGGCTGTGCGCATGCGTTAGGTACTGGCCAGGCAGTGGGTTTTTGTACGTGTGTCAAATGCTGTTAAGTTTGTCTTAGCGTAAGCAAGGCAGTTTTTCGTCCCGTCCAAAGAAAAAGATACATTTAAACCCGCAGAAAGAGAGGACGCAAAAAATTTCATTTGGTACCTTCGTTTTTGAGGCCCCAAACTTCCCTCCACTGTCCGTATGCTTCCTTATCAGATGGCATTCACAGTAAAACGCTACATTCTGAAATCAACGCAAGGAAGTCGTTTAATGCTCTGGATTATAGATTAAATTTTTACGGTCATCATCATCATCATCATCATCTGACATCAATACCATAGTCATCGTCAACATTATTATTTTGCAGCTACTTGAAACCATTCAGCGTCAGCGAAGGCCAGCAAAAACAAGCCACAGTATTACACTCTGCTCTGAACAACCAAAAAATGTTTCAACTTACGTGGCTTTTCAGGAAAGACATAAGGCTGTCAGGAGATGAAACAGTCAGTTTACTTGAAGACTTTAGTCCTACTTCTTTTGATCCAGTTTTATTAGCTTGGTATTCATCCGCCCACTTGAAGAACTGAAATAAGATGAAATTACGAATAAGCCTCATTTCGCACACACAACCGCTTTAAAACCACTTCGTGATAGCCGTTTTTGGATTCAGAAGATATACAATGTTTTCAAGAGAAACATTATACCGTAAAGTATAACACCTCCGAGTTGATATTCTTGATACCCACACGCACCCATGAACAGGCGCTATTTATTTGCGTTTTTCGCGCGAGTAAAGCACGAAGGGGCCGTGGGGCGCAAGACAAGGTCTTCGTCCGTCGAGCGTGTCTCGAGCTTCTCGCTTGCCTTTGCTCACATAAAATAACCCCGCGAATAAAAAATTAGACACTTGCCGATTACCACAACGCATATCCCATTTAAGTGTAGACCACCGACCACCCTTTGGATAACGTAGAAAATCCAACGGCTTTCTGGCCATCTGATTGGCTGTATTCCTTTTTGGCATGCCGAGATAAATAGCTGTCCTGTGATAACGCAGGCACATTTACTATTTATTACAAAGAGCTGTAGCTGGGTATAAAACCCTCAAAAGGCTCGAAAAAAGTTAAGAAAAAAAGATAGGTAACTGCATGAACATCAGCCAGCTCTTACAAATTCAACTTGTCTTTCAAGACTAGAGTAAAGAATACTTATCTTCCTACTAATTTACACTGATTTACGTCATGCGCTTTCAGGGTCGAGGTTCTATACAAGTTATTTGGCCAGTTTGAAGCAGCGAGTGACACTGTGGGGAAATGTGTCAAATTGCCCTGTGGGACTATTTTATGGAGGGAGGCGTATTTTGAACCAGTTGGGCAACCTAGCAACAGCCAATGAAAACCGCTATAGCGTCTCTAAAATAGTCCCATAGCACAGAGCCAGTCTCACCGGCAACTTCAAAATTTTCGAGTTCAAGAAAGCCTCACTCAACGAGACTAAGAACAAAATCTTTTTTTGTGAAAATGTGTTATATTTGCATGAGAATAAAGATCGTTTTCATGTCAATGGCTTTGCACTTTGCCTCGCTTTGAAACAGAGGCTTGAGTTAACACGAAAATAACCTATTACAAAGGCTTGCAGAGCCAAACTTTCTTTCTCATAGGTCAAATTGAGAGAGGGAAAGAAGAAAAAACTTTAGATAACCTTGCATTGTGATTGGCCTGTTGCAGAACAGGTGTAGAATAGACGTCCCTGACACAAAAGAAAGAGTGTTTTGATTAACACATGAACAACTAAATAGTCATCATCTTTGACTAGTTAAGTCATGCAATCCAGGCCCTGTAGGGCAAATATAGTGCGCATACTAAGAGTTGCAATGTGACAGAGAGTGATTGAATGAATAAAAGCGCGATACTTATTAAGCGGGACACTTTTCATGCCATAAGCTTGTGTTGTCGTGAGTGTTCGTGTTTCAGCTGGAAGATATATATCACTGGTATTTAAAACTACAAACTACCGGAAATGAAAATGTAAAAATGTGAGTTTACAGTGGTCAGTATTTAAAACTACAAACCACCGGAAGTGAAAATTTGAGTTTACGGGGGTGAGCTTCTGAATGTGAGCTGCAAGATCTTGAATTTTCAACATCTTGCAACCGAGATCTTGAAAAGATGCTAAAAAATTCAAGATCGTTCTTGCAAGATGTTGAAGTTTCAAGATCTTTCGACAAGATGTTAGAAAACCAAGTTCGTGAATGCTAGATGTTGAAAATTCAAGATTCTGATTCTGTGTGGGTCTTAAAAGGTCTAACCTTGTTTGGGCCATCCTTTTTAACTGCTCTTAAACGTGCCTGACCTGTCGACAGTCAATTTAAAAAAGTTGAAAAATGAAAAAAGTTAGGGCAAAGATGATTCATTGACGTCGACTAAAAACTAACCAAACTTAACGCTAGCCTTACCCCTAGTGACTAAAGCAATACGTGACTTGACGTGACGTGACGTAACGTGTAACAATGCACTTCTTACATCCATATCATTCTTGGTAGAAGTCCACAAGATGTGAAAATGCTTTGACCAACCTGGCCCCCGTTGTTCAAACGTTGGACAGCGCGATCCACCGGATAAGGATTAGAAAAATTAAGTACGTGATCCACTGAATAGGGATTTAACTAGTCCATAGCGTTATCCACCCTTCTTCGAACAACTGGCTAGACTTTATGATTGCGAGGCTCTCTTAGTGTCTCGAAAATACATGCTTTTCTTTTATTTGTTGATTTTTCTTTTCGTTTTAAGACATTACAACTTGCAGTAAGAATACGCCATTTCCGAGTTCCAAAAAATCTCACTTTCAAACCGAGGCTAAGTGCGAAACCTTTGTTGTGAAAATGAGTTTTATTTGCATCATAATTAAAAATCATTTTCATATCAATGGCTTCGCACTTAGCCTCGCTTCGAAAGTGAGATTTTTTGGAACTCGGAAATGGCCTATTACTTTTGTCTTCACTCAAGGCTCATTCTGTTCTTCCTCTCTCGGGGAAAAGTTATTATTATTGTAAAAAAAATTGCGCTGAGAAAGCGGATCAACAGAAAACCGATAGGTATGGTTCGGAAAGAATAATAATGGGGCGAGAGGGAAACGCCTAGTCTAGCCCTTGGGAACTGTGAATTTCACCAAAGTTATTATAGGTATCCCGGGTCAAACTCATACTACTAGTGTAAATTTGTTACCATGGTGACAGCTGGGACCATCTGAAGTCTGACGATTACCTACAAGAAATTAATAATTTTTAAAACTTTGTCATCAGAATAATAAAAATCTATTCGATTTATGGTCATAAAGGAATTCAGTTGCTTCCTTACTGGTTACGATAAAATGTAAGGGAGTTTTAATAACACATTCTTAACTTTTTTCCCGCAGCTTGATCAGAGAAAAGTCCTGGGAACGAGGTTGGTATAATCGCAGTAAAGTACCTTGCTGATTAGTATCAAATCCTGAAACATCAACTTTCTGCAGGGCAGAGTGGTAGGAACGAGCCAGTTCAAATAACACAATATTCAGGTGCTCTGTTATAGACAAAGATTAAAGTTAATTAGGATTGTCTCATGTACGAGGCAAACGAAACGCTGCACCGTTATCGCCAGGTTTGTCCCTCTTACACTTTCCAACTCTGAATTTGCGCAGTTGGAAAATACCCCGCCCATCTTCAGTGAGAAAAATTCCAACTCAAGCAATTCCCCAAAGACATTACTTCATTCCAAGGTCGTGGCTATTTGTTGCGGAAATTCTACCCCCTTGGCGAACTTTAGTGTATTAACCGCGGTATTACCGCGTCCTGGGCCAACACGTTATAAAAATATCGTTCCAAACGAGCATGTGTAGCCAAAGTGAAGACCAAGAACCACAAAATTTAAAACCTTTCTCATAGGGGATGTCAGGTTCATACGCAGTAGTTTACTGTATTTGGGCATTCTCGCGTCAGCATCTTTGACTTCCTTAAGAGCAATAAAATTGTTGCATAGTCTTGGTAAAGTTAAACGAACAAAACTGCTAAACCAATTATTTTGACCAAAACTAAAAAGGATTCATTGATCAATGACAATAGGAGCGTGCTCCTGTGAATTGCATTCAGTTCACCTCTCAAAGCGGCCTTGAAGACTTGTTTATACTGCATGACATCTTCAAATGTCACCGGAACGGTGATTTGTCGGGTTGGAGTGACACTACTCTCACATTCTTCTGCAGTTGGGAAATACAGTTGACCCGCCATACTTCGCTGTAAAAGACAGAGAGAGAAAAGGGTTTTTTTTAATTTGGGGACTAAACATCCCAGGGGTTTGGGATTTTTGCTATCGAGTGAATTTGTCTATGTTAGAATGAAAAAACTCCACGGCTCTCTAAGTGTATAATTTTTGGAACAATTTCATAGTAGATCATCGCATATCAGAGCTTTTATCCTGTCCAGAGAAATTACGCAAGTATGTTCATTAAAAATATGCACAGCTCTCGGCTTTAAGCATTCGATAGCTAATCAAAACCAATTCTAATTCATAAATCTGCAGAGGCAACAGGATAAGACACAGACGCTTTCAAGGTCGCCTGCTTGTTTTTGACCAATTAAAGCAGAACGCTCCACATTTAGACTTGGGTATTCCACAGGACACCCACTAAAAACAATCCGATTAAGAATCACCAGGAGACGTTGAGGGAGAGTGGGTAGGGGCCATGGAGTCGTAGGTCACGACACATTAGGGAGCTTAAGCAACAACGATGGCGACGGATACGGAAACGTCACTTAAAAGTGGATTCGCACCGCTTCAAACTTTATTGCGCTTATTCCATCTCGTTCGATTCGTCAAATGCTGTAAATTTTTTCCTGGAGATGAATTACAAAAGACTGTATCGAAGTTCAGGAAAGGAGAAAGAAAGTCGTCTTCTTGCGTTCACGTCCTCCAAAAAACGTGAAATTAGGAAGTTTCACGTCGTAGTCGTGCAGTGACGACAAACAAATGTGCAAAAAAGCGTGATGCACGTGCAAAAGTGTTGTTTTGCTAATGTATACCTATTTCTTTTTTGCCGTTCTCGCTGACGTCGCTGTCGCTGTCGTCGTTGTTTAAACTCGCTATTAGGTAGAATATCACTGCGGCTTTAAAAATAGGGTGATTTAGCAGCAGAACGAGAACGTCATTTGGCGACGGGAAAGCGCGCGGAAAGGACTAAACTCGACTTACGGTACCCAATTTGGCGCTCTGCCATTGGTCAAGCCAGTTGTTTGATTGCGTGCGCCGTCGTCAACTGACGTTCCCTCTCTGTTGCTAAATCAGCGTAATAGAATAATCAATACACCTTTCTCTGCAGTCCACTCCAGTAAGCACACAATGAAACGAGATCGAGGCTTTTAAGGCAATTTCATACAAATCACTGTCTTTTGTCACCCAACCCTCGGGTTAGTGTCTTTGTTGACATACAGGAATACCAGAGCGGTCTACTTCTCTAAATTAACACTTAGTCAAAGTCCGTCAAACGTAAAAGTGATAAAGGAAAAATTACTTACGTCTCCGGATAAAGTGCCAGCCATGTAGCTGGGGACTGTTGGAGGCCTGTACCCATCTTGTTTTCCATGAATCTCTTCTCTCGTCTGACAAAACTCCTGCTGATTCTTAGGAAGTTCACGTGATTTTCCCAACCCCACCCTCCTAAGGCCAACCCGTCGACACGAACCAACTGGGGCTGAATTTTCCTTGTTCTCCTTTACAGCTAGCTCTGTACCACCACACAGTGATTTGGATTTTCTATGAAAAGCTGTTAAGACATTGCTGAATTCAGAGTAATGTTTAGTGGGGTACATCCCGGCAGAAGTGTTCTTGTGAGATGGTGTGTTCTGAGGAACTGTCTGTTGTATGCCGTGATCTTCACACGGGGCAGTGAGTATCGGAGCTCGTCGCTTGGACTGGAAAGAACGTAAACATAACCAGAGTGAATACAACCAGACTTCCATAATACACTGGTAGAGTCAAGTGTCCGCACAACAGAGGTAACTGGGTTATAGAGGCATTGATGGTAAGTTTGGTGTCTTTGGGAAAAGGAAAGGGGTCTGTATTAGAGAGCTGTCCGTAACAGGAAGTTCGACTGACAAAACAGTGAAACGACGCAACGTCCATAAAAGCTACGTCCGTCGTATGATAACGTAGTCAAGTGAATGAACAAGAAATAGTCCAGGATGTTTCGGGATATCAGACACGAGTAGGAATGTTTTATCTAATATCCAAACACCAAGAAGTGATGTATCAAACACGAGGAATGTTTCATCTGATATCCAAACATCGACAAGTGATATACCAAACACTACAAAGAGTGTTTTATCTGGTATCCAAACACCGAAGTGTTGAAAGGAGACAAGCAACTCAGTTGCTTATGCATGAAACTGATTACGAGGTATCTGATTCTAGATATTGCATAAAAGACTGTTTTGACAGTTTAATACACTTGTAACTCGAATGAATAATAATTTTTCTAGAAATAAAAATATAAAGTTCCAAAATTTTATGAAAACCAGCATTGAATTTCAAAACTTCCTTAAATCGGTGGTTTCTGTGTCTTCTTCATTTCGTCACTAAATTTGAATAAGTTCGAAAAATTCAATACCAAAACTCTTCCGAAACGTTTTGAATCAAATTCTTATTCTCTCGTTTGTTTCCTTCGTTCGTGCGTGGATGTGCGCGTTTGAGTGTGCGTTCATATGCTCGTCCGTTCATTTAGTCACTCAATCATTACTTCACACATTCCTTGAGTTTTTCATGCATTAAAATTTTACGAGTAATAAGCAGATTATTACCAGTTGAGGAACTCTTTGCACAACGTCCGAAATCCTTGGGTGGTTTTGATCTGCAAATTGACTATTCTTTATAAATCCCTCGGTGGATGATAGCGCTAGACTTTCACTAGTAGCAAATCCCCTCTCCAAACCTGACATGAAGCAAGGCGAATCTTCACACACGTCCGTCGATGAAATTGAGTCTACCCAGGTTGTTAAGTCAGACGATGGAATTCTTTGATCACCTAACAAATATAAAGATGGTTAAATTAGAGCTTCTAATGATGTTTGGTCGACTTGCTTCAATAAAAGGGATGTTTTAAATCACTTTTTTATGAGCCTTTAAAGAAGTGACCATCGACTGTGCTGGAAAAAAACATATTACAGCTATCGCTAAGATTCATTTCTTTTTATCACTGATGCTCGGATGAAATCTTGTTAGGTTTACAGGCTGAGGAAAGCTTGAAGCATGGACTGCACTGTTAGTATGAAAAAAATTTTCGAGTTATTCCCCACAGCCTTTGCTTCCCCTGCATCCTTCTGTAATTTGTTTACACGAGCTCTTGCTTGTTTTAAATAAATTTTAAGCTCAGTGGTAAAGGGGGATACAACTGTAATCGTCAAGTCACAACTATCAAGTATCTCTAAGTTTTTAACTAACCCCCCCCCCCCCCCCCCCACTTTCTCCATCAGTGCTCGTTTTACGGGTATTCAAAGCTTCTTAAATTACCACTGAAAGAAAAGAAGTCAAAGCAGGATTCGAGGTTTGAACTCGGAAACTCCCACAAAGAAAGCCGTGTACTAACCGACTGTGTTAATCTGGGCCCCAATATCAATGTCAGGGACTCAAGATGCTTCCTTTGTTTGACCCATGTCGATTAACATCTTCTTTCTTCTAGCTCGTACTACTTCACCGGACTACACTATGCGACTATTCTTACCTTGAGGACATGTAGTGGGAGTGTAGAGTTCTTGCCTTTGAACTGTTACCATGGGAACAGAATGTGAATCTCTTTTCACTGTATCGCTAACCACAGAGCCTTTCCACGAGTGACCTTCACCTGCCTTCACCTGACACAGTGAAAAAGCACCATCTACATGACAATCACTTCAGTGCCATTCATAATTTCTTTCTCGTTTTATAACAGTATGTAACTTGGGAAAATCAATTTTACCTTACTGCGGTTATCAATGTAAAATTCAAAAACTAACTACACATTTGCTTTCTTTGCTGCCGTCAATCATCTCAGTGGACCTCTCAGAAAACAGACGTTTACTTCAACGACTTGAAGAGATCGTGTTTTCTGATTTGTGATAATGGGATTTTGATCCATGTTGGGTTTTGCTGTACCTGAAGGCTCATAATTAAAAATAGCGAGCTTAAGCAACGACGACGCGGACGGCAACGAGAACGGCAAAAAAGCAATTGGTTTGATTAGCAAAACAACAACTTTGCACGTGCATCACGCTTTTTTTGTACATTTCTTTGCCGTCGTTGCCTGACTACAACGTGAAAATGCCTGAATTCACGTTTTGTCGAGGACGGGAACACAAGACAACAACTTTCTTTTCTTTTCCTGAACTTTGATACAGTCCTTTAGAATTCAACTCCAAAAACATTTGCGAACATTTGACGAAGTAAACGAGATGGAATAAGCGCGATAAAGTTTGAAGCGGTGCGAATTCACTTTTTAAGTGACGTTTTTGTAGCCGTCGCCGTCGTTGTTGCTTAAGCTCCCTAGTGACAGCAGCAAAAAAAAGCAGTTGCGAATTTAGCTTTTTAAATTCAGAGTTCGCGTGTTATTGAAAAGCGCAGTAATAAGACTGCTGATAATTAAATTACTGCTTTTGAACTACCATTTGCGACCACCCATCAAAATACCAAAACTGAACACAACTTTCTCAATATAATAATCAAAGTGCTCTTGTCGAAACCTGTCGTTACCGATTCCTTTCGTATATGTAAATGACCGTGACTAATTTTAAGGTGACCAGTTAAACATTTTCCATCATTTAACTCAGTTTATTATACATTGTAGTCACCATCTGTCCTCTCATTGGCTAAAAGCCTACAGTTAATTCTGGGAAACAGCGCAACCTACAGATTATTCACTAATCTGTACCTACAGATTAGTGAATAATCTGTAGGTTGCGCGCGCAATGCATGATATCCAAGAGCAATGTCAAGTGCACGGACAGCAATAAACTGTGATCGCTGCGATAATGCGTTTCTCGTTATTTTCTTCAAAATAATGTATAATAAAACAATTATTAGATTCGGTTTTTTTGATATCCGGAATAATCAAGGTCTCGGTTAGTGTTATCAGCCTCAGCCTTCGGCTTCGGCTGATAACACTTACTTTGACCTTGATTATTCCGGATATCACAAAAACCTCATCCAATAATTGTTTATTATCAGTTTTACCTGACATGGCGAGGATACCACAACAGCGTTTGCCAATCACCGAGGTCCTGACACAGCCCCTTTCCTAAACAACCCATGAAAAGGCAGTATCACCACCGGGGTGTTAAGTCCCCCGCTCATTTTAAACAGTAGGGTCACTGGGTGATACAGTCAACTCTCGCCTTGCGGACATTCGCTATAACGGACACCCCGATAATAAGGACAGCAGCTAAATCCTCCCCAAAAATATGTTAGAGATGTTTGACTGAAATAAACTTCCGCTATTACGGACTCTCGCTAATGAGGACACTAACTCAAGGTGCCTACAGTGTCCTCTGGAGTTGACTGTATTTATGAACTTGAGTTACTGTTATGGACGTTTTGGCTCTCCATGTGGACTCTACACGGCGATCACAAAATTAAGCAATATTAGGATTTCATAAGTAAGTGCAATATGATATTCCGGGTGAGCGTAGTCCTAAATAGGACTGTTGTTGACAGTGACTGACGTTTCGCCAACCTGTGCGGTGGTCATCTCAAGAGTCAAAAGGATTACCAACACCAAGTTTTGTGTTAGACCCTAAGAGCAATACCCGACTGGTACAAAGCAAAATAGTTCACACAGCACGTTGCTTACCGTTCGAGAGTCAGTAGGAACCACTTTAGTTGAGACAATGGGTGCAACTCTCCACTGGGTTATTTTTCCACTGTCTGGTGGGTAGAACTCTGGTGACAGCCCATTATCAGTGTCTTCCAGATCCTTTAAACCAAATGATGCATTCCAAGGCTCCAAATTCCCACACCTTTTTTGACGCAAACTTTTATCCGATCGCTCCACACATTCCAGTGCAGTGTACTCAAATGCTGATCCCGGGTGACTGGAAAATCCATTCATTTCGATACTAAATTGTTCAGTTCTTGATTGCGTTTGAGGTATGTTTTCATAATCTCTCAGTGAAACATCTTTCGCGTTTGTTTTTGAAACGCGTGTGCTGGCTTCCGATCTGAAAGAAAGTAGGTTTTGCTCTGTTGAAGGACTCGCGGGTATGAAATCTGCTTCACCAATTGTCTTTTCTGACGCATAAGAGCCTTGCAGATATTTCTGAATTAAGGACGAGTCCGTAGATGGGCGTAACACTGAAGAGGAGTGGTGTGCAGTAGGGGAACTAGAGCTCTGAATATTGAAGTGTTTCGGCAGTTGACTGTTATTACTTGAAAAGTCGCAAAGCCATCCTCTTTCCACCTTACTATTGGCATTAGCTTCAGAATCAGAATTATCATAATCTTGGACTGAACTTGTCAAGTGCTTCATCAAAGGAGAGACTGATTCAGAATCATGTGACAAAACATCGTTCAATTGTGTCTCGCAATGGGACTCCCAATCTTGGGTATCGTCGTCTGGTAGTGTAGCTACAGAGGCAATATCACAAGTGGGGCTTACTTGACCAACTGCACTTGTTACCTCAGCTTTCTTCTCACTGGAACAAGCCGCAAACGAATCCGGGGATAAATTAAAGGAGTTGCAGAGATCTTCGCTCGACACCAGGTCCTGTTCAGGTGAATCACTGTCTGTAGCATTTATTTGAGGTTCGCAAGCTGTCTCAGAAGATTTTTTTGTCTCCACACTTAATCTAACTGCATCCTTTGGAGAGGAGCTGTTGTCCAAATTTCCCTCAAAACGCGATGGTGATTTTCCAGTTAGCTCAATGCTTGCTTGATCAGTATTGTTGCTTTCTTCATCTGTTAACAGTTGTAGTCGAGGCGTATTATTAAACGCTGAGAATAATGCCAGGATCTGGGTAGTATTACGTTTACCTTCAGAGAAACTTCTGTTATTAAAGCTTCCTTTTTGCAATGATATGGTTGACTTTGAGGGCACCGAGTTAGTCAAGGCTTTGTTCTCTTTGTGTATACCAGCTTTAGAAGGCCCAGTTACATTTAGTGGAACAACTTGGTCATGCCGTTGCGGTGTAACACACAAATTCTGCAAGTTTGACCTCTGCAACACTGAACAGCTGTTATAGCTGGGAATCTCCGGCTTATTTCCATGGTGACGAGAATCACCCTCCACCTTTCGATTACTGGAGTAAGTACTGTACATGTTGAAGAAGTCATTTTTACTTGGAACTCTAGATTCTGCAGTGTTAAGGTTTGTATTTTTTGGAAGGACATTTTCTCTTCGTGGCTGAAAGGTAATTTAATGTAGGATGTTAACAAAGAAAAATGCGAAATGGTCCAAAACCAGTATGAAACAAGTTTTGGCCTAATGACTTAACGGTTTAAAAGTGACACTGACCCCTCGACTTTAGTTCAACTTTCGCTTTCTCTCCTCACCTTTTCTTTCGCTTTTCTTGCCTTTTTTCAAATAATTTATTTTTTTGCTGGGCATTTACCAGTCAACATTTCTATAGGGGCACTTTTGGAAAACTTTAAAGATTATAGGATTAGACAGAAGGAAGTCCTTTGGGATAGTGGAGCTACATTTTCATTGGAATGTTTGGGTCAGCGTTTCATGTTGGAAGAGGTTTTTTTTTCAGCCCGTTTCACTGAATCGTGCTCGTTCAGGTATGGTTGGAAAGATCTTTTTTCTATTACATAAGTAAGTCTAGATGTCCAGGCTGATGGTGAATATTTAAATTTGAGGATGACCCAAGTGGTACAAGGGAGGTGGAACTGATAGTCTGCGAGCAAGCTCTCCATTTGGGGGAGACGTGAGAAGTCACGCGAGAGCCGGACGCGATAGGAAACGCTAGTGCGACGGGCGCCGCTCACTCGCGCATTCTCTCAGGCAGAATGCTCGCAAGCTGTGGAACTGCCTCCGTGCTTATGGGCGGTTCAAGTGTGAATGGGTAAACAAACATACATATAGCCTGCAGTGCTGCCTTACAACTTTGTCAGTACAGAGTACCTTTTTGTATTCAGGTCCAAGGTGCCTTGATAGTGCAGGAGTAGTTTGATTGATTTTTGGCGGTTGGAAACACTACAAAGAGTTACACAAATCAATATCATTAATATGAGCTCAAACGTATTACTATCCAGGATTTACGAAGACTTTTTGACTCAAATTAAAAAGTTATTCTACTATTAAATATATCCTAAATTTGTGTTCCGACTTTAAATTACCTGTGTTATTACTTTACAAAATCCATTTTCATTAAAAAATTTTTTCTTACGTTAATTCGCACCTATATAGACCCCTCAGAGTGTACTCTAAAGTGCCACATACTTGTCTTTTCCTTTTGTTTGGTTGATAAATCCCAGGTGTGTTACTAACTTCTCTTTCTTCTACTCTCTGTGAATTGCACCCCTGGGTGTGGTCAGCAGAGGAGTCCAGCCTTTCTTCTATAGTTATCAAGTACCTATCACTTTCTAACTCCTCCCCAGCAGACACCTGTTAAAGACATGCATAGAAATAAATTCAGATTGAAGTCTACAGATATTTAATAAGGAACACCATTGGTGAATGCAATAATGGAAGTGGTAAAGCTAGTCATAGCAACAGTAGCTGCCGAAGTTGCAGTAGTAGCAGCCCCAGTGGTAGTAGCAGCACTAGTGGAAGTGGTAGTAGGTGGTAATAGTAGTGGCAGTGGCAGTGGCAGTGGCAGTGGCAGTAAAAGTGGTAGTGGTAGAGGCAGTACTAGTGGTAGTGGCAGTGGTAATGGCAGCAACAGTGGTAATAGTAGTGACAGTGGCAGTGGTAGTGGTAGTAGCAGTAGTAGTGGTACTGGCAGTGGCAGTGGAAATGACAGTGGCAGTAGTATTGGCAGTGGCAACGACAGCGGCAGTAGTAGTGGTAGTGGCAGTGATAGTAGCAGTTATAGTGGTAGTGGAAGTGGTAGTGGCAGTAGTAGTGGCAGTGGTAGTGACAGTGGCAGTAGTAGTGACAGTGTTAGTAGTAGTGGCAGTGATAGTGGTAGTGGCAGTGGCAGTAGTAGTGACAATGGTAGTGACAGTTTCAGTGGTAGTGGTAGTGGCAATGCAATGGTAGAGGCAGCCATAGTGGTACTGATATTTGCAGTGGCATTGGTAGTGGTAGTAGTAGTGGTAGTGGTAGCTGTAGAGGTAATGGTAGTGGTAGTGGTAATAGTAATAAATTGCTTTATTTGCATGACCGCATCATTTTACAGTATTGCAAAAGCATGCATATGACAATCAAAATATAAAACAAACAGCACTACCGGTAATAATAATCTAGAAAAATTCAGTTACTTTACTAACAATGAATCGAGTACTTTCATACAGGAGGAAACAAACTTCATAACTAACTTATTTACATGATGTTCCTTCGAATTCATAATCTGTTTTATGCTTTCTGGAGATGATTTCTTGTCAAAGTCAGGTATTATTCGATTGATTTGATTAATAAATGCCTGTCTCTGTACTGAGTATTTGTTACTTACATTGAAAGAGGAAATGAATCTCATCTTCTACCTGATTTGAGTTACATAAGGGACATAATCTATTTTCTCTTGGCAAATGATCGATTTGGTATCGACCATGTTCAATCATAAGTTTGTGATTACTTATAAAATTTAACAAAATTCTGTCGTTCGTCATAATGTCTTAGCTGGTAGAGATAATCAGATGTAGAATATTCATCTTTAAAAGTTTTATAAAATTCTAGTTTTTTTGAATTTTCAAGGCTGTGCCGCCAAAAAGTGATAGTGGTAGAGGCAGTAGTAGTGGTAGTGGCAGTGGTAATGGAAGCAACAGTGGTAATAGTAGTGACGGTGGCAGTGGTAGTGGCAGTAGTAGTGGTAATGGTAGTGGCAGCAATAGTGACAGTGGCAGTAGTAGTGGCAGTGGCAATGACAGTGGCAGTAGTAGTGGTAGTGACAGTGATAGTAGCAGTTGTAGTGGTAGTGGCAGTGGCAGTAGTAGTGGCAGTGTTAGTAGTAGTGGCAGTGATAGTGGTAGTGGCAGTGATAGTGGTAGTGGCAGTGATAGTGGTAGTGGCAGTGGCGGTAGTAGTGACAGTGGTAGTGACAGTTTCAGTGGTAGTGGCAGTGGCAATGCAATGGCAGAGGCAGCTATAGTGGTACTGGTATTTGCAGTGGCATTGGTAGTGGTAGTGGTAGTGGTAGTACTAGTATCAATGTTTAAAACTTAATGCTTGGTTTTAAGGGAAACTCTTAATTTGGTTCACGAGAATCTCCATGTTTCCCAAGGAAGAAAAGAGGAGAACAAAATTAACTAGTTTCCCAAGGGACAAGTCATGAAGTGATTTTTTATATGCCCTGGAAGAAAAACTTCTGTGCGTAAAAATCTATGAAAGTAAATCCCAGCAAGTGATCGGCAATTGGAGTTAACAGTGCACTGTTACCCTCTGATACCATAAATTTGCAATCTCAGAGAATTTGGGCAAGAAGTAGTTTTATTTTTAGATGTCATGTGACCTCAAAGTAGACCATGAGAGTGCATGCTATTTAATGTTACGTCAAAAGACATGTTGCTTAGTTACTTCTTAGTTGTCATGTTCCTTAGTTACTCCAACAAAAATAAAATTATAATTTATCTCATAATCTCGGCAGAGTCCTGGAACTACATGTAGCTTGTTATAAAGGACATGACTGGGAAATTACGTAATTAGCAATAATTTAATTGCATGTGAAAAGATGCAACATATGCAATAATGAAATCATGATTTACATGGTTATAATAATAATAGTTCCACAACCCTCTCAGTGGCAGATTTTAAGGAGGGGTTCAGACCCACTCCTTTGTGTAGAATAAGTAGATCAAGCTGAGGCCCACTGGACCAAGTAAAATTTTTCCCAGAGCCGCCCCAAACCTATCCTCCCACCCCCCTGCCATTTCTGGGTATGGATACACCACATCTAAAGATAACATTTTAACAAATGTTACCCATTAAAAGGGCAACATTTAAGTCAATTATTGCAAATTTTCGGGTACAATTTATACAGATTGTCTAAATTACTTTGTAAGTGCATGACTGACCTGGTCATTGTGAATAAAAAATGAATCCAGCAGCTTTGACTCCTCGTCACAGAGCTTTGCCTGAAAAGGAAATTTGTGAGTGAAAAGTTTATATCCAATAGGGATAATACTGTGAAAGGCTTGAACCCTGAAGTCATTTTAAAAGTGAGTGGAGCATGATTGCCCTATTCAGTACTATGCACGCTCACCTAGACGATTATGCTCCACCTACTTGGGGATAATATTAGGGCCATTTATACAAGGAAAAATAAAACGTGCCTTACATAAGATGCATCTTAAATAAGATGCAAACTTTCCGTATAAACGGCACATTTCGCCTAAAATAAGATGCGACTTAACTAAGACGCATCCTATTTTAGAACAGCCCTTAACACCTGTTCATAGATAGGATGCGCTTAGCTAAGACGAGAAAAACTTCGTATAAATGACCTTCCCGTCTTACATAAGATATGAACACATAGTACGCATGCATTAATTTTTGGCGCGCCATGTTGGATTGCCATTACTACGGGCAATATTCGCATGAAAACGAGTCCAGAACAGAAATAAGACGCAAACCATTTATATATGAGTTGCTTTTGTCTTAGATAAGACATGCTTGTATAAATGGCAAAGTTCACGTCTTATTTAAGAGGCGTCTTATTTAAGACGCTTCTTATTTTTTTAAACACCTTTTGTTTCAGTCGTTCGCATATTTAAATAAGAAACAAACACAATGTTTACAAACATGACCCATCGCTATTGTTATTATTATACCCAGTTTAATCTTGACAACAGGAAAATAGACCTCAAAGAAATACGTCAAGTACGTATCTGAGCTGCTTTATGTTTTTAAGCCATAGAACGATTTGTACAGCTTCACTTTGATTCCTTTACAGAAGCGCAGAGAGTTTTTACCTTGTTTCCGTTAACCTTCAGAATGCCATCCTAGAAAATGAGGTAAAAATAGTAGACGAGGTTAATAATAGTAGATGATTCGAAGGCCTGCGCGAAGCTTTTGCTTTAACGGTAAAAACAACGTGGACCAAATTAAAGCAAGGATATGTGACATGTTAATTCGAGCTCAACAAATGAATGTTTGCATAATAAACAGGGTAACAAAAGATTATTTCTACCTGCCATGTCTTGGCTTTCTTAGCCTTCTGGTGTGTGTAAAGTACCTGCAGTCAGTAAAAGAGTATTTGAAAACAGTCTTCAAGGAGATTTGAATAAGAAATAAGAAAGAACACATTAACTTACCGAAAACATCGATCACAAGGCGATAGGACGACTTTTCATGTTTGCAGTTTTGTTTTGTCTTTTGTTTTTTATTTTTTGCGACAAATCTGCAGTGCCGTTAGTTGCCTTTTTCCTCAAAGACGAATTATATCGGCTTGTTGATGTAGCAAATTAAACGACTTCTTTGCTTTTGAACGGCTTTCTTTTCCTCTCCGCGGCTGGCGCCATATTTGTATTTTGCGCGGGTACTGGTGTTGACCCAGTCCTTCCCGGCCCTTTGCAAACTTGGAAATGAGGTTGTTTATTTTTGTCGAGATTGCTACTTTTCCAAGATGGCTTTTCTGGAGTACATCACGTTTGGGAATATCTTTCTTTTTCTCGTTTTTTTGCTGATCCTCAATCTGTTGATTGAACTGTATCAGTTTAGAAATATGCCACCTGGGCCTCGTTTCACAAGCTTACCTTTCATCGGAAATATACTGAGCTTTGATCGGGGAGCCGCGGGGCAGAGCTTTATCGCTTCTACCGCAAGGTTTGTTGACTTGTAACTAGAGCATAGCTTTATTTTGCACATTTTTATATGGGTTAGAGTTAGGGTTGAAACATCAGAGGTAAGGATCTCAGATACATAACAACTAAATCGGTTTAGATCCTATTTTTTTTTTCCAGGGAACATGCAACATCACTACAATTATTTAACTAATTTTTTTGCCCTCGGTATAGGGGTAATCAACATTTATTATATTTATGGCTGTTGTAGAACATATTTTTTACTTTAGTTGCTGGAAGAAATTTCTTTTAGCTTAGCAAGTTTTTCAGGAAAACATTTCTTTCGTAAGGTAAATGGAATCTAGCGTTTTTCTTCTGATGAGAAAAACATCTGACGAAATATTTTAAAAATAGGGATTGCAACAATATAAACAACAAAGTAAGCGATTATGCGTGTACTCACATGACAAAATCACGCGATCCATTGACAATGGAGCGCTTAGTTTGCAAAAACATAGTGCAGCTGAAATTTTGCTATCATACCTTAGACACCCAAAATCTCTCCCATATCTCAGACTATGACAATAAACCAAAAACTCTAATTCTGTATTTTGTTTCCATAAAAATTCCCATCACTGATACACTATTCCTGACCCCTCTGGTTTCTATGACGCTGCTTAAAAATCCTACCCTCCCTGTGCAGCAGTACATTTCTATAAAGGCCATAATATATGGGATCCCTGTGCCATTACCCTTTGCCCAATGCCCCCCCACCCACCCTCCCCAGTTATTAACTGTCCAGGTGTGGAATTTGTCATCAAACTCAATGGTCATTTTGATCTAGTGGATAAAGTTTTGCTGTAATGGCCCCAAACAAATTATATTGCAATAATCAAAGTGCACCTGGATATATATATATATGTGCACTGTACATGTACCATTTTTTGTTTCTACTTGGTTGCAGCTTAGGAGTGACTGATGACTTGTTGCATGTAGGCTACAGTAAACTTTGTAAAGCCATCGGTTAAAAACTAACATTTTTCACTCCCTTCTTGTTTAAAAGCTTGAGGAAAAAGTATGGAACTCTTTATTCTTTGAAACTTGGTGCCTACAAATTTGTCGTGGCTGAAGATGCTGACTCGGTGAAGGAGGTTCTGGTAAAGAAATCTGCAGATTATGCAGGAAGACCTCCATTTTATAGCTTTGTGTCTACTACACTTGGTATGTATATTGATCTGTCAATCTTCATTTTACAGCCCAACACAGACACCTGGCTGAGTCAAATATAAATCACATGCTCATGGGCGGTTTTTGGGGTTGGCCTAGGGGACCACGGCCACCCTTTTTTCTGTGAAATTTTGTATTGTTATTTAAAGAATTCTCGGTCAAAATTAAAAGTATGTATAAAAATGCCACGTGTCCTGGCCGCCCCTTTCTGAATTTTGTGAATCAGCCGCTGCACACATAGTGCCTCCTATCACAACATTTATCTGATAATAAAATATGAAATTAACAAGTATCATGTTTTGCAATTACGTGTACATACATAACCTTTTTGATGAAAAGGAAATAGGAACTGTGGGTTTTAGGAAGTTTCGATCTGATCCTGATATCTCTGAAGCATTTCTGGTGACTTGTCAGGTCTGTCTTGCTCTTGTGCGCTTTCTCTTTTTCCCATTACAGTCGTGACAGGGGTTTGAGTTTTTTCGCACAGAGTAATCAAGTCTCGGCAAGTCTTGATTTTTACCATTAAATTGCCAACCCTACTCTACAACATAAAACTCCCTAAAAATTACTGAGTTTGTTAGCCTGCAGGTGCTTTTTTATTCACATTTTTCAGGCAAGTAACATGAAGTAAGCACAAAGCGGGCGTGGAGTGCAAGACGCGCGAATTTTTCCGTGCCTACCTCCGTCGCGCATGTCTCGCGCTCCTCACTCGCTTCGCACTTGCCCTCGCTCGCCTAAAAAACGCGAAAAAATAACGCCCTTATTTCAGGCTATTATTTCACCTGGACGATCAAACTCAAGCTAGTTTTAGTTTGTTTATGTTATTAATTCTGGTTATGGTGTCTTTTGTAGGCAGTGCAGTTGTATTCTGACTTTTTTTTGACTGATTGATATATTCTTCTTCCTAATGTAAGGTGGGAAAGACATTGGATTGGGGAATTTTGGTCCTGCATGGAAATTCCATCGCAAACTGTTCATGACTGCTGTGCGACAATATCTATCCAACCAGGAACTTGTGGAGGAAAGGATCTCTGAACAAGCCTCAAACCTGCTGAAGTATTTTGAAGAACAAAAAGGAAAAGATTTTGATCCTGCAGAGATTCTCATGAAAAGTGTTGCAAATGTTATCTGTCGCATCTCATTTGGAGAGCACTTTGATTCATCCAGTCCAGATTTTGATGAGCTCTTGCGCTTGAATAATGAGAGCTTCACAGACACTAAGATGAGTGAAGATGCCTTCATCTTAGATCTTTTTCCATTGGCGAAGTACTTTCCTTTTGAAAGTTACCAAAAGGAAATTAAAATGGCTAACCGAATGTTTGAAATCATTGGCAAGCAGCTGAAGTTACAACGTGAGCGGTTTGATTCCTCAGCAGAGGTCAAGAGCCTCACAGAAAGTCTTATAAAAGAGAGAATCACTGCAGAAGGTGAAGTTGGATCCGAAGATAAAGTGAGTATTCTATCAGATGACTACATTGTCAACACATTAGAAGACATGTTCAGTGCTGGGTACGAAACCACAAGTACCACACTACGCTGGGCCATCGCATTCCTGATACACAATCCTGAGTTTCAGACCGAGATACAGGATAAGTTGGATGAAGTAGTTGGCAGGGATCGAATGCCTACATTGGATGATCGCCCAAAGCTTCCACTTATCCAAGCCACGATCATGGAAACACTGCGCCTTGGAAACGTTGCCGAGACAGCTATTCCTCATTATACTCTGAAGGACACCACACTTGGTGACTATCGAGTTCCAAAGGACACAGTGGTGATGGTTAATCTGCAATACGTTCATCTTGATCCAAAATGTTGGGAAAATCCCAACTGTTTCAATCCTCATCGTCACATTGATGCCGATGGGCAGCTCATTACTAACTCTGGCAACTTCCTGCCTTTCTCCGCTGGACGTCGGGTTTGTGCTGGCGAGGCACTGGCAAAGGTAAGAAAATTTATTTTATTTGCTCAGGGATGTATAGAATTTACAAAGTACGTCTTTGCTTAGGCTCTCAGCTAAGCTGTAAAAGCTTTTACCACACCCTTTTCTTTTAGTTCCCACACCCTTTCTTTCAGTCTCGTACCCAGGCCAGTTCGCGTTATCCAGGTGACTAGAGGAAGCTTGGAACCGAGCGCGAATTTCCTAACATGCTTCACAGGTGACATTACATCCAAAATCGTTGAGGACGACTGGGATTGAGGCTTCCTTTTTTTTTTTACTTTATTCATTCTATTCGAGTTGAAAGAAAAAAAAGAGTTAGAGTAAGCCTTGAAAATCTCCGTCCTTTCCAGACACTTCTCAAACTCATTAATAATTCATTAAGAAAATACAAAGGAAATTAATGTTTAATGAGTGTTTGGAAATCAGATGAAACACTGCTTAGTATTTGCATCCTTAATTTCTCCTTCAAAAATGATTTTGTTTGAATCAAACATTCGACACAGTGTTTCATCACCAGATGAAACACCTCGAAGTTCGTCAAAAATACTCCGCTGCGCGTCGTATTTTCAACTCTCTTCTCGGTGTTTCATCTGGTGATGAAACACTGCATCTCATGCTCGATATATTACTTACCATATAAATCAGAATCTCACGGCAAAATCTGGTTTTGGTGATATGCCAAACAGCCCTGATCTTATGTTGATACTGTTTTCTAGGTGGAGCTGTTTCTGTTTTTGTCCTGGATGCTGCATAAGTTCACATTTTTGCAGTCAGATGAAGGAAGTCCTCCTGATCTTGAAGGAGTTTCTGGTTTTACTCGATTCCCAGCTCCATACAAGATGCGAGTTCTAAAACGCGATTAGATACTTGTAAAAAGTTGCATAAAAGAACTCAGCTTCATTAATTTGATTGACGGTAGAAGTAGAAAAATTTGAACGAGATAGTGAACTAAGGGCCTCGTCCATATGTCTTAGTTTTTGTTTTAAAATGAAGAATTTTTCCTCCGTTTTCAAATAAATCCGCGTCCACACGTTTCGTTTATTAATCGTTTTTGTACGTCAACACGAAAACTCAACAGTGACTGAAAACGTACCATCTCTGATGGGAGCATGCTCATTTTCTGGTATCTGAGCCTAATCCGTCTTATCTCGTGCACGGGATAGGCTGGATCCAACAAAGTGACGTAATCGTCTTCAAAACCTCAGTTTTCATCCATACGCACGAATACAGCACAACGGCGTTTTCAAAAATCCCCGCTCCGGAGAGCTTTTTTTGAGAAGATGCGTGTATTCGGAGACGGTTTCCACCGGTTAATAGTGTGGGCGACAACCCAAACCGGCAAAAAACTCTCCGTTTTCAAATAAAAAAGGATATGTGTGGACGAGGTCTAAGTATTTCACACAAAAAAATATATACAAACTCTCTCTAAAACGGATACCTTTGTGGCCACCGGCACAAAGTGTCCATCTAAGAGTAATGTCCGTCTCAATATAGAGAATCAAATAAAAGGAGTTGAAAAAGGAACCAACTCTAGGTGTCCATTTTACTGAGGTATCCGTCTTAGTATAGAGAGTCAATAAAGGAAGTAAAAAAAGGAACCAACTCTAGGTGTCCATTTTACGGAGATGTTCTTCTTAGTATAGAGAGTCAATAAAGGAAGTAAAAAAAGGAACCAACTCTAGGTGTCCATTTTACTGAGGTGTCCATCTTAGTATAGAGAGTCAATAAAGGAAGTAAAAAAAGGAACCAACTCTAGGTGTCCATTTTACGGAGATGTTCGTCTTAGTATAGAGGGTCAATAAAGGAAGTAAAAAAAGGAACCAACTCTAGGTGTCCATTTTACTGAGGTGTCCGTCTTAGTATAAAGAGTCAATAAAGGAAGTAAAAAAAGGAGCCAACTCTAGGTGTCCACTTTACGGAGATGTTCGTCTTAGTATAGAGAGTCAATAAAGGAAGTAAAAAAAGGAACCAACTCTAGGTGTCCGTGTTATAGAGGTGTCCGTTAAGAGAGAGTCGACTGTATATCTTATTAAGTGAGTATTAATCACGCTTAAGGTTCTACATGTATATCTACATGAAGGTTAAGTCAGCTGAATAAACTAACATTAACACTTACTTCTTATCTAGGGCAAAATGTTAGCTTAGGGGAGGGGTAGGAGGGCAGTTTCACAGAAACCCTAACTGATCCGAATTTGCAATAGCGTAAGTGCAGTCAAAGCGCCATGGGCGACCACTACTTGTAGGCGACCACTTACTAGCTATGCATTAAAGCCATCATCTATCCGAAATGGTAAAATCATTTTCCTGTTGAAAGAACGATACTATACAGCCAGGCCTCTCGTAAGCCACCACTTCGGGAAGTTTTTGGGCTGATTTAGCAACAGGACGGGAACGTCAGTTGACGACGGGAAAGCGCGCGGAAGGGACTAAACACGACTTCCGGTGCCCAATTTGCCGCTCTGCCATTGGTCAAGCCAGTTGTTTGACCTGCGCGCGCCGTCGTCAACTGACGTTCCCATTCTGTTGCTAAATCAGCCTATTAAAAGCGGACGCTAATGGAGCTGTAGCCTGAGAAAACAGACGACATTTCACGACGCCACCACTGGTTTCCCCGCGAAATGACGTCTAAGAAACGAACGCAGAAATTCCATACTGATGACGCGTCACTACCCAGATCTGGCTAATTCACTTTTTAAGTGACGTTTTCGTAGCCGTCACCGAATCAGAGACGAGAGAGACGACAGGGGACGAGTCAGTTTCTCAGCGAGAAGAAAGAGTAGTTACTGTCTTTTTAAGAAATATATACAGCCTTTTTGCGTAAATATAAAAAAAAATCTTGAGAGAGTTTCCAGTTTTCCTCAATAACCAGCTCTACACAAGATAAAGAAGTGCTAAATCAAATCGCGATAGACGAATGCAAAGCGTTACATATAGCACTTGACTTTCTTTATATGACGGGCAGTAGAATTGTCAACAGTTATTGTATTATACCAATTAAGTAAGGAAACAACAATAAAACGCATAATTTAACCTTTATCTAATTTTACCTGTGGGGTAGGGGGGGCGGCCATTTTGCTGGGAGGTCATTTTCAAAATATTGAATGATTTTGGGGGTCATTTTAAGACGATTTGCTGCCAGAATATTCGTAGTTTCCACAGCAGTCAGGTGGGGGTCCACTTTCACAATATGTAAAATTTATGGGGGCCATTTCTAAAAAGCCACGATGAATTGGGGCCTCGGTTTGAAAATTGGTTTACGGTCAAGTCGCCCGAAATTCTGCGTTATGTGGCTCTAAATTTATCATGCTCAACAATATCCTGACATCCCTATTACCATTTACCGTGCTTGTTTCTTCTGATTGAAGATTATAGAACGAGATTTTACTCATTTATCGCGCTTGTTTCGTTGTTAATCAAAGGTTAAAGAGCGAGATATCTTACACATTTATACCGCTTTTTTCGTCTCATCGTCGTTTAAAGAACGAGATATATTAACACACACTATTTATTAAACAAAAATTAATTTGTTTCTCCGTGCACTTCACCTGATAAAATTCGGGCGACATGACTGCGCATTTCGGGCGACTTAACTCTGGTTTCCGGCGACATAACTTCGGGCTACATGACTTTCGGGCGACTTGACCAGTTACCTGAAAGTCTTCTAAGCTTTCTCAAAACGGCCGGCCCACACTCACAGGTAATACACTATCAGCCCCTAAATTAACAGTGCCTATTGGTCTAAGATGCTATTTGTTCAAGTTAAACAATTGTACCAAGCAGTAGAAATTTATCACGATAAACTGACACAAAATTTTATTTTAAATTACTGTGAGCTACACGATTATGATTATATTATTTTTTATTTTAACGTAACAAAGTTAGATACATAACTAAACCAACGGTCTGTGATACAGCAAAACATCTGTAAAAATAGCTTCAAGAAAAATACAGATTCCCACAAAGTAAAGAAACCACAGTTTTTCCGTAGGTAGTTCCCCTGTTTTGGACCAGTACACCTGTGACAAACACACAGAACAATTGTTGATTAGGCAAAATAATGAAAAGATAACGACCGTGTTTTTCACGTTAGGCTAATGTTCGGTATTTTCTAAATAACTGAATATAACATCTGCATGTATCAAAAACCAAAACACCAATAGGTGTACATTACAACACTCTTTACTTTCTCTTACAGCAGTTTAAGCCATTCCCTCCTGGGGATACTTTTTTAAGGCTAGTCAAGCTGTGTTCTTGTTACTGTCTGGTTATTAAAAACAAAACGGCCCAAAACGCGTATTTCTGTTCCAGATGCAAAATGTCAGCTCCCAAAGCTCGGACTTGCATAAAAAGAAAAATTTCGAGATTGGGTTTAAAAGTGGCAGAGCAGTCTCGACTATTTAACAATTATTCCTCGAGCCCAAATGGGCTCTGAGTTAATAGCTAATGGGCGATGAGTCAATGGGGAATAATTGTTTTAGTAAAATCCAACTAGTTGGTCAAAAATATGGAGACAAAACAACTTCAAGCAAGACTTTCATCTTTTTTTACTGCCAAAAATCAGTCGCTTTTCACTACTAGTGGGCTATAACATATAGCCTAGTAGTAGCTCAACCAATCAGAATGCAGCATTGAAAATAGACCACTAGTTGGATTTTACTAATATCTTTTATCTTCTTGTTCTTTTTTTCTGGGCATTTATAAGGCTTCATTTGAGTGGGAAAAGTTTTGCGGAAAGCTTTTACGATCGTAGGATTGGATGGATGGAAGGAAGAGGAGATGAGTAATGGCACTAGATTTTCATTGGAATTTCTGGATCAAGTTTTTATGGCCTTCAAATTTTTCTCCAGCTTCCTTGACTGAATCATGGTCATTCTGGCATGGTTTGAACAATCTCTGTTCACCTTGCACAAGTTAGATCACAAAGTTGCCCTTGACTGCTAAAATTGATGCCATCACAAGTGGTAGAAGGGAAGTGGATCCGTACAGGTGATTACGAGCGGTTCAGGAGCATGGGTTAATGGTTCCTCTTGCACAACATCACCCTCTAATCCCACCCCCTGTACCCTGTACCCTCTTTAAAAGTGCAAAAAAATAACTTTATAACTGTCCCACAAATGATTATTCCAGAGAAACTAAAGAAAAATCTTGATAATGTTAGAGGCAAGCTAGGGGAGAAGATAAGTGACCAATGTATGAATTATTATTATTATTATTATTTATTATTATTATTATTATTATTATTATTAGTGTTCAATGTATAAATTTAACTTCAAAAACTTCATAAAGAAAAAGCAAAAGAACTCATTATTGAGTGTCTTTATATCTGATAGAAACGGCTAAACTTTATGTCCAATTTTTTAGACCAAAATAACCCCAAATCTAAATATTAGTGCAAACATGAGTTGATCTATATTTAAGATATTTTGAAGCCATTCAAAAAACCTGCAGAACTTTATGTATTCGCCTCAAGTTTTTAAACCTGATAATACATGTACACTCCCGCTCGTTTTTTTAACAGTACTTGTAAGCACTTACCAACACTACTTCAACCATGCCAATAGCTGCAAGAAAATTAAAATAACAGGAAAATTGAGATCCTCACTGAAAACTGACTTTCTAATTTGATAATTATTGTTATAATGTATATTTCCAAGATTAAACTCTCTGTGTAAATAACCTGTCACCATCATTTCCATCATTATCATCATCACCAAATCATCATCATAATTAATTATCATTATCATCATCAATGTTACTTTACATAGTAGTTTAGCTGTTGTCTACTTTGTGTGAACAAGGGAATTTAAAGGAAGTTGACAATAATATATCTAACTGTCTGATGGTGTTTAACCCTTTAAACCCCAATATCCACATACAAATTCTCTAAACTGATCTCCATACATTTCCTTCATGAATGAGTTGAGAGAATTTGATAAAAGATCAAGGCATTTTCCCTTAGGTGATCATTTTATTAATTCTCATAACCTAATCTCTTGACATTGTATGGATATCGTTAGGAGAAAATTGACGTTAGTCACCATTGGGACTTACAGTAAAGGGTTAACTAAAATACTTACAAATGATGCTGACTCCTAATAAAATGTAAGTGGAATCTACTATAGTGCCTCGGTATAATGACAAAATTGTGGTTATCTGTTGAAACAGAAGAAAAGAGCAGCAATCAGGAAACATTTCAATTCTAGGCAAATAAAAGACAGAAAATTGGTCCAAAACAACATTTAACGGATTAGGAAAATGTGTTTGCACCAAAGACAGTTTAAGTTATGCAACAATAATAATCATGCTAAATTCACATGACTGACTGTTTCTGATACATACCCTGTGCATGTACAAAAGATTAAACAAGACATGATGCATGTTATGAAAGTGAGACCAAGCAACATCAAAACAGAGAATAGAGAGAAAAGTTAATAAAATCCATTGAGCTATTGTTGATGCTGGATACCCAAGACAAGATTAGGATTTCATGTACACAGTAAGTTTGTTAAATCCAAGAGACTGCATCTTTTGTAAGGGCTAAAATTACATCATTATGAACACTTTAAAGGAAGGTTACATACATGTAGAACCAATGACACATTTTTCCCTTAACCATTTCAGTCCCAGAGGTAAGTATGGACACAAGAAATGAAGTTGTAGCTGTTAAGTGAACCTCTTTATGTTGCTATTTTAAGGGTGAAATGGTTTATTGTATGTACTTACTGTGATCATAATGATGACGACCGCAATGAACAGGTACATGACAAGTTTCTAAATAAAAATAAAAAGAATGCACTGCTTATTTTTATACTTGTATGCACATGAGCATTTGAGCTCGACTTGTAGGCAAGTCTACGAACCTCTGTATAATGAATGATGAGCTTCGCCGCAGAAATGGTACAATATATGAAAAAGAGCCTTGACGTAATGAAACCTTTTAATTTTATAGAGAACATAATTTATTTTGCCAGTCCCTTGGGCTGTTACATTGAGGTTCCGCTGTCGCAGTTTTTTCTTTGTCGAACACTGGCATTACTAGTGCAATTGGCCTGGTGAGGATAACTGACAGGCAACTGACACATTCCTCGTTTCTGATGACAGTTTTAACGTTTTGCAGTATTTTGCAGATTCCCAGGTGAAAATGAAAATTTATCAAAAGTTGATCATTGCAAGCATAGCCTCATTTTAAGTAACATCTATAAACAGTGCCAAAATCCTTGTTGTAGGTCCCAACCTGTGTACCAGGATTTGAGTGTGCCGCATGATTGGCCTTTTAAAGAGGTCATAATTTGTCGATTTGCCAGTTGGGTTGATAGGAAATTTGAAACACTTTTCCAGTAATTCATTGAGTCTGTTGGGATCTCGGTGCTGCTTTGCAGATGTTACTAACCGGGATTAGATAACGTCTGCAACACAGGCTATTGCAACGGCTCCCTTTTTTTCTCCGCTCCTAGCACTCCCGTCTCCTTTCGAGTGCCACACGCGCATGTCTTCTCGAGACTCCCCTAAATCATAAGATTGTTTGTGATTGGCTGGGAAAACAATAGGGATTGTCACATAACAATGCTCCTATCCCTGAAAACAATGGAAGTGCAGATTAAAGGTGGCCTATGAAATAAGAGGTTTAGAACGGTGCAGGTCTACTGACTGAATCAGCTGATCTCTCATAAACATCTTGAAGGAAAGGTTTATAACTTAGAAAAGTTTGTTTCAGAGAGTTGGTATATTGAGCACGTACACGTAGTCTGTGCGGGAAATCAGTGTCATGTAGAGAAAAAAAAACGTACAGCTTTGTAAGCTAGCTTACAAAGCTTGAACTCCTTGAACAGTCACAATCACGACAGATATGATCAGATCACGTCAGAGACTATCAGAAAGTATAATTCACACGTACTTCCTTCGGACTCTTCCCTTTTTCCTGAAATAGGGCTTCATTGTATTCATTTTTAGGAATCTGTTGCGAAGAATAAGGCTGGGTTCCCTCTAGAAGACCTTTCCTGTCTTCTTCCGCCATGTTGATTCTTACGACACAGTTCCGACAATAACCGAAGATGACCGAACGAGTTCCGAATCCAGTCTCACACGACAAATTGACAGAGCCATCTGGATTCAGCACATGTATTTTCAAGATGGACGGATCTGCACCTCTGTATCATGAAGTTTCTCCTTTTACGGTACGATCAAAGACTTCAATTCTTAAATTTTTAAAATAATTTTGAATAGATCGTCTCTGAACTAGTTTGCTCGCTCTACATCAACCAACGTACGGTAATGCGTGTAGCTGTGCATACTCTTTGTACGAACGTTAAGCTTCAGCTTTTCTTTCGTGTCAGTCGAACGAATAATCAAGCTTACCGGGAACAATCGATGATATATCGCTGAGTATGTTAGTCTTTTTGTTGATATTTAGCTGAACTTTTGAATACCCTAGCACACTGTGTTTTTGTCTGAACGGGAGGAAGAGTAGGCGGGGGGGTGGGGAGCGGCAATTCTCTGTAAGGTGGGTGGTTATGTGCGCAGATGCCCTTGAAAAACTGGAAGGGTGTTCCACAGGGTATATGCCTCTGGGACTACATTAAGTATATTCAAACTCAATCAGTGAATAGCTATCAAAAGCATAGTTGAAATAACAAAACAGCAAAGAGAAAAGCGACTTGAGGTTTCCTGATATTTCGGACAGACAAGCCATCCTTCTTCAGGGGATTTGATTAAACCTCAAGTTGCTTTTCTCTTTGCTATTTTTCATTTATGTGTATATTTTTGTCTTGGATAAAACAGCAGGATTTGGCTGTCGTCATTTTATATAAAAAGTATCAAAACCATACCCATCCACAGCACTGTAGAGGGGCCATTTTCTACTATGCATCTCTCGGTTTTCTTTCACAGCCAAATCAAACCACCCCTTAGCTACATACATGTATAATATATCACTGCCACCCCTTCTAGTAAAAAAACAATACCAACAAAAGCAAAATCTTTATTGTGGTCTGGGTCAACTTAGATATACGAACTTGAATAAATTCAAGTGTATTCTAGGCTGACCATACTCAGAGATCCTGAGGGAGCTATTACCAGCCGGATAGATATTTAAGAAAATTTGTTGCATACTTCTCAAGAGACCCCCCACTCCCACCCCACACTTACTGCTTCTGAGCTAATCACAGAAGCATTTGAATTTTGATTTCCTTGCCTTAAATTGGTGAGAAAAATAATGGTCTCCCACTTATTTTGCCCTCCATCTCAATTGCTTTGCTGCCCCTTGCAAAGCAAGGTGACCAGGGACCAATTTAATACAACTGTTACAAGTATAATGTTTACAAGTGTAGCTTTCATTTAAGAATCTGAAAACAACAGCAACACTTGTAAATTACAATTGTAAATTAAATTATGGCCTTTTCCTACTGTTGTGAATGACTATAAGGAATGATCATAAAGTTATGTGGTGTTGTAACTTGCTATGACTTTTCTTTACAGAAATTAATGCTAAGAATTTTGGCTGCAAGTGCAGGACTGGTTGTATTGGTATGTACAGCTGTACAATATTGTGTTGGGCACTGTAATTCCTTGAAATGTAATTTTATATACTAATATAAAAACTTATAATTGGCTGAAAGTTTTGCAGTGTTATAAGTTGGCAGAATTTTATGTTAGTTGGAAATGTAACCCAGGAATTATTATTAATTGATGCAAATGATTCTCAATTATCCTCTCTTTGCTTTTTACAGATCACAGTAATAATCAGCTTTGTCAAGGCTGCCGACGACTCCATGATGTATCTTATAGCTGTCAACATGTTAAGTAAGTACAAAATATAGGTGTGCAATACATAGAGAATATTACACGGTGGTGTGAAGATATGAATTTTTTTTTCGAGTGGCAAAACAATATTTTACGAATGAGCACAGTGAAGGAGTAAAATATTGTTTTTGCCACAAGAAATTGATAAAATAATAATAAAATAATTGAAATTGATAAAATAATAGAGGGAAATTACCGAAATTACGTCATCGATAAACTCACGTGTGAGATTATGAAAAAAAAAAACCTCTCGGGTCCCGGATGTAGTTTTTATGAATTTTACAAGTGGTATATTTTCCAGTAAAACACTCGTGTCTATATAATGAAGTATAACATTGTTTTTTTCACCTCTGAAACAAAAGTTATTTTGTGATATCTCAAGGGTGATAACATCAAGACAGTGCTTATTGCAATGCAGACGCAGTTTGATGGAGCACTTTAAAAATTAACAAAAATGTTGGTTTCCTTTTGATTTCAGTAAGCAGTGTGATCGGAGGTGTAATTGTAAGTACGATCATAATGTGACGTAAAGTACATAACATCTGCATAAGAAAGTTTTCATGGACCTTAAAAAGCCATGAATCAGATGGCAGGCCAGGTTGTTTAAACAGTAGTTGCCCAGGTCAGGTCCCTGTGCATTGTACACAGGGTACCGGGCCTCTTGTAGGTGTAATCAAAGGGTGACAAGTCATATAAGGGAATAATTTAAAGGCACATTTTGTCCAAATTCCTTTAATTTTCTCCAGCCTTTTGGGTGAGGGAAATTATTGGGATTTGGCTAAAAGTTCAGAATTTTTTCAGAATCTTACAACAAAATACCTGGTAGAATCCTTCTTGATGTGCCCTTTTGTGTGTTTAGGTTTTCTAACCTGTCTTTTAATGCCCTGACCTCTTCATTCATAACATTTTGTAACTTTGCCTCCATCTTATAACATTCAGTTTTTTTCAGTACCAAAAGTAATGTTTACTGTTTTTCATGTTTTCAGGCATGGTGGTATCACAAAGGAATCATAGTAAGTAGATTATTTTATCAACTTGTTATGTCACAGTTAATTTTTTTTCCTTCGGTAAATTTTTGTTTTTCCCTTGTCTCAGATTCATAAGCATTCAATACCATACCTAAAAACTAAAAAAATCATTAAAAAAAAACATTTTGCCCTGACAATGATTATTACATCAACAACAAACCCTTCCGTGCATGTTGTCACAAGATTATATACTTATTTTTATGTAAATATATTATGTATTCTATTTATTTATTTATATATCTATTTTTTTTATATCGTTAACTGTACAGGAAGCCAAGAAAGTTGCATTCATGGCATTTGTAGGAGTCTGTATAATTTTCCAAGCCATTATATCTGATGTTTATGTTTATAACAAGAAGGCTGTCATATCGTCACCAACAGTATCACCAACATCGTCACCGGCTCCCACAACACATCCAAACAGTAGCTTCAGCATATAACACTAATGAAAACTTGATAAAAACAGTGGACAGGAGAGACTTTTCAAGATTAAAGAACAGACCCAAATATCCCTAGAGGAAAGCTAACTAACTAAATAAATAAAACCTTGCCAGAATCGTTTTACCCAAACGATAAATTAACGACAATGTAACCACAGATTTTGAAACCCAAAGAGTCTTCCAATCATCCATGTCACTTTGAATTTTGGAGTACTCCCTGAGGATATAAGTGGGTTAGCAAGAAAAAGCGCTGCTCATTTTCTTTTGTCAATATTAGGATATGCTAACAATGACTGGAAATATCTTTATTGGCATAATAACGTTCGTCCTGCTAAGCAAGTTTCATTACAACGGAATAGTATTTGCATGAGTCTTAAAATGTACAAGTTCGGTAAATGAAATGAGAAATTAGAATTTATTTAATTTACTATAGTTAGAAATATTTTTTCAAATTTTATGCTGTGTTTTAGCCTGGTTCCAGGTGTTTGGATGCAGAAGTGCGGCGCGCCATGTCGCGTCCACCCCCTCACTGTTTTTCTGACTTGTCTTTGCGCATGCGCCATCTCAACAATCTGAATGCCTGGAACAGGCTAGCCGTGTCTCAGCATAGCATAGCTCTTCCATTAGATTTTCCCATTCACTTTACAAGGGTGAAAATTTACATAAACAATCCGAACTGGAGTGTCCTTTCTTTTTGCTTTCTTTGAGGTTTAGCAACTCTACCATAACCTTATAAATGAATCAGGAGTTCTTTTATTCGAAATGAGCATAATTGTATCAACCTTGTAGAAGGCAAAAATTATTTGTCAATTAAAGGAACAATAACCAGACGTGTAATAGAGTGTACTTCTGTATTGTCCATCCGATCGAATTGCAAACGCCAGAGAGCCATTTCACCAAAGAGCAGCATAGCTAGCTGAAAGAAGTGAGTAATCTCTTGATGTTGCGGATGGAGTGATCTGTCAATATTTGATTGAAAGGAAATTGCAGAAAATCCATACCACCAGTCACTAACTACCAACAGTAGTTTCTTTATCACCATCGCCATCAGAAACACCCATGATCACTAACCTCTTTCAACAGAATTTTAAATGGAAATGCGTGTTACCTCTCTTTAAATCAAATACAGATTGGATGCTAATAATAAATTCGCATAAACCAGTGCTGTAGGAATTTTCAATGTCAATAAGACAGGCACCAATTCCTCCTCAAAAAGGATCTAAGTGGTCCCTACTACTACTCTTTTGTTTCAAAGATTTATAACTTTGGCAATGATTATAGTGTTTTCAATAGCAGCCCTTGAGCGAATTACAGCAAGGAGCACAAAAGTGTTACAGCTTTTGATTTATTCACATTCTTTCGTGCAGATTTAATCCAATCAAAAGCCAGCTAAAAACTGTCCTCGACTTATGATTGGTTAATGTCTGCATGAAAGAATGTGAGTCAATTAAAGGAGGTCATACTTTTTGGGGTCCTTTTTTTCCGGACTTGGTTTATATTTATACCTTTTTTTAATTATTTTTCGTTTAGTCTTAATACACTCTCTTTTAATTCTTAACAAAAAGCTCACTTTAAACATGCAACATGGTTTGCTCAAGACGACTTTGTTTCATTGATACCCAAAAGACATTTCGCGACCTGTTCGGAGACTTTAAGACCAAGATTTTGTTCTAACCAGAGCCAGGCTCCTCCCGGATTACACTCCAGAAATATGACGTCATCACCGCGTTCCAAGAAGTCGTAAGCACCAAATCCCAGACCGGCTTTTCTGTGAAATTCCAACAGCCGCTCTTTGAGTTCCTCCGATATCTGCCAGGGAAAAAAACAAATTGGGTTTGCGTCGGAGAAACAAGCTCCCTTCTCGTCATTTAGGTGTACAATGGTTTTAGAGGAAACACCAGAAAAGCCCACAGCTAACAGAATGCTCAACTTTCTAAATATAAAAGGAAGAAATGTTCTCTTTTGTAAAGGTTCAGAAATCCACCCCTCTTTTTCTCGTTCTTAGCCAAATATTTTTTTTTTTCAAAGTATTTTGTATGTATCAACCTCGTTTCCACGGCGCTTTTCCCTGGCTTTGGAAAAAGCGGGAAAGCGCCGTGGGGACGAGGTTGTGTATGTATCGTCTTGCAAAATGAGTATTATCAGGTCACTGTTTATTGGAGTGACAATTGGTTCTAAAACTAGGTAGTGCAACCTCATCCCCAGGGTCGTTTCCTACTCGGCTCTTATGAGAGGATTCTGGGAACGAGGTTGTAGTCGATGCTGACCCTTAAATGATGAGAAAAACATTTTCACCTGTACTTCACTATAAAGTTCTTCTTTATCCTGGCATCGTCTCCAATCTAAGCGATCCTTTTCCGTTTCCAGGATCTGCGAGGCAATGCGAGCTACAAACACTTCACATCCAACAACAGTGATGCGCAAGTCTGATCTTCTCTCCACCAGCTCCTGATAAATAGCTGGAGACTGGGCAATGCTATCATGGGAATGCGATGGAAATTCTCTAGTTATCTCCGTAGTGTAAAGAAGCTTGTCTGGCGGCAGGAAGAGAGGAGTTAGACTTTTGAATATAACGCGTCCGTTTTCCACTTTGTCGAATAATTCTTTCACTGCTTCCGGGTTGTTTGTGATTGTTGTCTTTGGGACAGTCAGCCCAACTTTCTGCGCGAGTTGTAACTGAAATGGCTTGCTGTTCAGCAGTTCAGTGACGGCTACGGTGTTCAGCCATTGCGCATGCGGGAGGAATGCCTCTAGAGAACGAACTACCGATTTCCATTCTTTCAGGACAAAGTCTTTGGCAATGAGACCTTTAGGATTAGGATTGTACAGCAAAGAATAATTATTGCAACCATAACTTCAAGCATAACACGATGTGAAGTTATTTAATTGTTAGCTTACGTTTTACATTTTGTAAAATTCAAATGTGTCTTCTTCGAAAATAAACCGAAGTATAGAAAAAGTCGACTGTACCAGACTTTTCTCTGATTACATAAATTTCTTCTACTGAATTGATATATAAATTTAGAATTTAAAAGTGAAGCTCTCGTTATTATACTTATAGTTTACTCAAGCAAAAGCCAATACCGTGCAATGGGCGACGACGGAAAAGAAAACGGAAAAGAAAGTAATCGATCTAAAAAGCAGCAAAAAAAAACAACTTTGTATTGCACGTGCAGCACCTTTTTTGTACATTTCCTTGCCGTTGTTTTGCACGAATACAACGCTGTGTTAAACTTTCTAGTATACCTTTTATAGAGGAAATGTTTTATATGTTTCTCTTTGCCTTTTTTTCACTGCCGCTCATTTTTACCTTGTCAGCTGCTAGAATTTCTCATACTTTAATCGCAGGTGTAAAATTTTCATGTTTTTCTTTCAATGAAATTCGTTTCCTTTTTTTCATCTCTCGCTCGATCTCCTTCTCTGTTATCCACGTCATTGTAGTAGTACTAAATGAGACAGTCACTTGACATCGGCTTACATGTAGGGGGTGGACAGACGTACGGACGGACGGACAGACGGGCGGTCACGTGATTACCAAATTTTCTCGCGTCTATAGGCTGCCATTTTTTCTCACTCAAGGTGCTCCGCTGCGCGCTATAACGAAACGTTCGCCAGTACTATACGAAAAACTGACTGTGTTGTCGTTTTCGTTTGTGATTTAATTTCACGAAACAGCATAAAAGAACTGGGATAACCAGAAATTCAAGTGAGCGCGCATAATTTCGCGACAACTAAAATTACCAAACGTTTCGTTAAATTGGCCTATAAAACTAGTGAACGGCGAAAAATGCGAGTGTATTTTTTTTAACTAGAACAGAACCATACCCTGGAGGTCTTCATTAGCGGAAAGGACGGCAGGCTTCCAACGGTACCAAACGGATTTGATCGACTCAGCAGGGATTCGTTCGCCATCCACAACTATAAGACAGCTAGAGCTTAACTCACACGAAGTATCGACAGTTATTTCGATAAAATGACCGCCACAGAGTGGATTGAAAAGAACAATTCGAGCCTCATTGTCAAGCAATTTAACATTTTTTTCCACTTCTTGGATGTGGGGGTCTTCGGCGCTTCCAATACATAGAATTATAGTTGCCATGATATAATTTTAATGCCTAAGGACTTCAGGGTTACCACAGAAGTTCAATGTTTAATGTGGGAATTTCTTGGAATACTGACGTGACCCGGAAACAGATAGTTGCCTAGCGTACCCCTGAATAAGACAATGGACATTGATGAAGACATATAAAGATCTAGTTTCATTATTCTTAATGATCTCTACTCCTGGGAATGAAGATTCAGGGGTACCAAACGACTGTTTTCTGTGAAATATCTGTTCGGAGAAGCTAAAATTGCCTAGAATTTTCTATAGCTTGAGGAAGGCTAAAAATGACCGCTCCATCCTTGTACAATTTCCCAAGCTTACAACTAAGCGATCTTTCAGTTTCATTTTCAAGTAAAATATTCATATTTTCAAGCATATCATGTAAATCATTATGGCCAGAAGGTCCTTTATTTCCAAGAACTTTCTTAGTTAATAAATATTTTATTATCGTTGTTTCAGTGGGCGAAAAGAAATGCCATATTTTCTAAACGTTTCAAAGAACCGAGTAACTATACAATAGCCTAATTTGCCTTTATGTTCAAACACCGTTAAACACTTGCCAGCCACGATTCTTGACTGCGAGCAGTCTCTTATTTTCTTTTTTCACGGAGATCGAGAGCACGTGTGAGGGGCGAGCAGTGAAGTCGCGAGGAACGAGGACGACCGCTTGCGGTCTACCGTTGACGATTCTTGCGGTAAAAAGAAACCGGCTCAGTCAGCTAGTGTAAGACGTGACTTATCTAGATTGCAAAATTCCGAGAATTGCTCCTACCGGTGTTGTTTCTTATTATTGAGGTAACAAGAGTCATTTAAAACCACGAAACTGAAAACACTTTTTCATCAAAACATTTCCCAGAAAACATTGTGATGATAAAGCGTTTTCAGTTTCGTGTTTATAAGGATCTCTTAGTAAAAGCGAAATAAAGTTATTTAAACACCTGTTCAGCTCAAAGCCAAACTGCTCTGGAGAATTATATTTTTACCTTGATATCGGCTTAAAGTAAGCATTATAGCTCATTATCTACACCTCTACAGCCTCTCAAGACTAAGATGACGACCTTGTTTTCCAGAAGAATTTTCTCCCCTAGACGTCATGCCGACCATAAAGGCATGTATTCGCTGAAAAGCCGGATATACATATTTCCCTGAATTGCTGCCGACAAACTGCGCATGCTTATACGGTCAGTCACTTAGCAACACTTAGCAACACCAATCCTTGGGTTTGTTGTTTATGTGACCTTTGATTGGTTGATTATGTTGGCTGGCCCATTGCAAAGGATACAGTTCTGGGTGTGCCTCCTAATTCAAAGTTGGTTGACCTTGGTTGGATCTAATTCTCTAGAGCTCGCGAATCTCTTGGCTGCCCAATTTTTCAAGAAAGAACTAAGTTTAAAGATGTCAGCACCAGAAAAGGTCTGTATATATCTATATCTTGAACTAAAAAACTATTCCTTTTTTTGTGTGCGCTTTCGTTACTTACCGCCAAAGTAAAACTGTATTTTGCAGGTTGTGATTCCAATGGAGGAGGGCATTAGCCACTCGACCGCTAAAAATCCAACAGAAAATGCGAAAGGTAAAAAATCATTTCTATTACAATGAGAAGATTTCTTATTATTTCAAACTCTTTACCGAACCTGAACCTTCGCAGAACTCCTTATCTTCCTTGCTCTGTTTCCTCAGAGTTCATTTTGCTTGTGTAAAAACGACATTCGCGTTGAATTTAGCCCACATTCAAGCTAAACTGATGATAATTGTCATAAGTATTGGAAGAAAAGCTAGTAATCGAAGGCGTCAGAGTCGAATTTAATAACACCATCTTATACATGTTATAACTTAATTGCTTCAGAGGTGAATCTTCTTTCCTAAAAGTCGAAAGCTACTCTTTCCACTCGGTAGTAAGACCTTTGAATAGTCCTTCATATATTCGTCTGGCAAAATCCTACTGTCTAATAGAGTCGTGTTTTAGTGGTCCGTTTCTAATACGTCTCAACAGTATCAAATCTCTCCTTTGCGCAAAATTCTCCTCCTCATTAAAGTGTCGGGCCTAAATTCATCTGAATACTTTCTTCTCTTATTAACAACATGTTCCCATTCATGTTTTACGCCTACACATAAAAATACACCTTACATACTCAAAAAGAGAGAATGGAAAATTTAAAGTTGATTATGTCTAACGCGTTTTTCATCAATGCAAATATGTGCTGTGTTCGCCGCGCAGGGACAGAACTCAGTGCCGACCAACTAGTTCTTCCTATTTTCAAAGTTACAGATAGAATTACGCCACCCTCCCCCACTTTACAATCTTGTTTTCTCTCCCACATATCTGCATGCGACATGTATAAATTTTTTGAACACATTTCTTTCAGTCCCACTGTCATGCGCAGCTGAGGCGCAGAACAAACTGCCTGTAGCCTTCTCATTGGTGGAAAAAGCTACTGGGCCAGGATCCCGGATTGTACAAGCTTCTCTGACGCGCCGCGAGTACGACTGTTGAAGCTTGTCGACGGTGAAAGCTTGAAAAAGACATCCGCTTTAAAAATAAACTATGTAACACAAATATAACCGCAACTAAATGCTTCGATTTACAGCAAAACTTCAACAGAAGAAAGATACTCGTTGTTCTATATAGTTATATAGAGGAAGACCGTCCTTTAATGCGTGGATAATTTAGCAAGAACTTGCAATGAGTGTAAGCAAACTAAAAAGCTGAATAAAATCAACTTGATATGTTCGGTAAAAAGTTTTTAGCTTTTATTAAGCCAAGAAAATGGCTGGTTGTATCACTCTGTCTGAGGTATTCATAAAAATTACGTGGCTAATGTAATGTACATTAGTGGAGATATAAAAAGAAAAACAGACAATTATTTCTATCATTATACATTGTACTCACTATCTGTCTTCTCACTGGCAAAGAGCCTATGGTTAATTTGGGAAATAAGCGCAGATAATTGACTAATCTGTAGTTTGCGCGCGCAATGCATGATCTCTAAGAGGAATCAATCTAACTGTGTTCCCTGCGATGGTGTGTTTGTCGTTATTGTCTTCCAAACAATGTATAAATGACACAATTATTTGATTCGGTTTCCACAAAACCCCCATCCAATAATTTTTTAGGATCTCACATTTGGAGAATGAGGAGGTTGGCCTGATCCAGTTTCATGTTAAGTCAGCAAGAGAATTTTTGCCTCCGCACGCGGAGAAGACAAATTCACGAGGCTTAGTTGACAAAGTAAAAGCCCCACCCCCTCGCCTTACCAACCAATATTTCATTTTCATTTTCTTGAGACATTCACATTGTCATGCATATCATTAATACTGTATTGCAAGCACGTCCTTTATTTCCTAGAATTCTTTAGTTGTCGAATAACATATTCAAGCTTACCTAGAATTCTTTAGTTAACGAATAACATATTCAAGCTCGTTGCCCTTGTGTGCGCAAAAAGAAATTCGAGCATTTGAAAGATACGAGTTCTTCTAGCGGTCTTGGCTATTTCTTTCTAAGAACAATGATTGTCACAGTTGGTTACTCAACTTCTTTTCTTTCTGCGTAGCTTTAGGCAACTTGAGATACAATTAAAACGGACCACATGGAGAAACAGGGGGAGGCGAGGGGGGGGGGGGGGGGGGAAGGGAAAATTGGGGGCCCCCCCGCCCCCAGGTCTCAAATTTTTTTAATGTAACCCAGGGGGACCCTTTTTTACGCCCCCCCCCCATAAAGAAATCTTTCCTTTTTTTTTTTCGAACCGTAAAAATTTTTACCACCCCAGGTTTTCCCTTGAAGGGTTTGTGGTTGTTGGTGTAGTTTCGCTCTAGTTGTTAATTAGTGTCTGTTGAGGGTTTTTTTGTTTTTTTTTTTCAAGAAACATTTTTGTCGCCTTTTTTCTTTCTTCTCTTTTTTTTTTGTGGGTGTAGTAAAACAAAAAAAAAAAAAAAAAAAAAGGACAAGGAAAAGAGGGGGGGGGGGGGGGGGGGGGGGGGGGGGGGAGTACGGTAAATTGAGTGCACCCTCAGCCTCAAGTCTCAAATTGTTTTTAAGTCAGCCAGTGATGACCATTTTGAGCTACCGACCTCATGAAGGAAGCTTTACCTTTTTTATTGACAGACCGTTAAACTTTTACCAGCCAAGGTTCTCGCAGTAGAAAGAAGTTCAGTCAGCTATTAAAAGACATGGCTAATCTTGAGTCCAAAATTCAGATAATTGTTATCGGTATACTACCTTTTTTTAATGAGGTCAAAAGTTCGTTTCTTACTATAGTTAAACACAAAACGGAAAACGTTTTGTCATCAAAACACTTCCAAGAAAAGCCTGTTTACAGATTAAAAACGAATTAATATTTATAACACCCTTTCTGGATAGAGCCGAACTCTGTCTATAGAGGATCATCTTTTAGCCATGAAATTGGCTTGAACTAGGAACCAGCTTCGATTTTGCATCCTCACGAGATTAAAATAATGACCTCGTTATTGGTCAGAACGTACTGCTATATACTAATAATATATAGGCTTTCGTGGAAAAGCCAGAGATCCTTGGATAAACATATTTTTCTGAAGTGCTGCTGTCACCTGCGCATGCTCGTACTGTTAGTTACCACGTGTTGTTGCCTTAACACCTACAATTTAAAATTTTATGAAATGCTTTCGTTTTTGATTGGCTAACGAGCTAACAAAGTCACACTTCCCTTTATTGTTTACTTGACCTGCGATTGGCCGATTGTGTTGGGTGGCCCTTGCACCGGCTATAATCATGTATTCTGGGAGTGCCTCTAATAATTCATAGTTAGTTGGATCTAATTCTCTCGCGTATTCCTTGGCTGCTCCGATTTCCTAAGCACTACGTTTAAAAATGTCAGCATCAGGAAAGGTATGTACCAGAATTTTTGTGAACAAAAAACTATTCGCGCCCCAAGTCCGGTTTATTTACTTACCAAAGACAAACGGTATTCCGTAGATCATGATTCCAAAGGAGGAGGAAATTCGTCACTCGACGGCTAAAAATCCAACAGCAAATGCACTGAAAGGTAAAAATCATATTTTTTACTACTCCACAATTTCATAGAAATAGCGATAAAATAAAAATTATTCTCATCACGGTTTCGCCCAAGCTTCACAAAATTTTCGCTTTCTTTCTTTTTGCTTCCTCAAAGAAAATGTCGCTTGTGTGATAAATGCATTTTGGCATGAGCTCAATCGTTCCCCCATTCAAGTTTAACTGTAGTGAAAAGGAATGTTACCAAAGGAATCAGAGTTTAAATCACGTTCCGAAACGTAACGCACAAAGGATCGTTTGATAGGTGCTTCTTCTCAGGCAACTGCTATTTTCCAAGAAACTCAGACCTAGTCGTGCGTTAAATATTTTCAATGTTTCACAAGTAGTGTTTTTTTAACTGTTTTAGATAAAAACTACGACCCTTTCAAACACAAAAGCTAGTCCTTTTTTAATCATAGTTACATAGAAATCATGTCCCTTCACTATCTTGTTTTTTTCTTAGGGAGCCTCATGAGCTTAAATTGCTTTTGAACACATGCATTTCTTTCCTTGAATTTCAGTTCCATTGTCATGCGCAGCTGAGGCGCGGAACACTCTACCTGCAGCTTTCTCATTGGTGGAAAAAGCTACTGACCCAGGGTCCCGGATATATACAAGCTTCTCAGACGAGTAGCGGCTGTTGAAGCTCGTCGACAGCGAAAGCACGAAAAAGAAACTGCCTCTATGAAACTAAACTGTGCAATAGAAATATAATCGTCATTAACCGCTACTTTTTACAGTTAGACTGTTTTGTACTAGAGATAAATTAGTTAATACTCGCAATGTGTGCAAGTAAAATAAAATGCTGAATAAACTCAACTTGATAATGAAGCTATTAATAGTCGAACGATGGAACAAAAGTATACCGTTTTGTACAGTTTGAGATCCAGAAACTATGCTACCATGGCAACGTGGCGTAAAGACTTCTCCTCTCTATTGCTCCTTCGTTCTTTCCAGCATGTCCCGTGACCCGAAAAACTGGCCAATAGGGAGATTAGGATTCTCGTTTAAGCCAAACGTGAATTTGTACCACGTGACTAAGTTTTTCCCTGAATTGTCGTCAACTGTTTATTACTTAAACTAAAAAAAAGTAGTTTCACGCCAGTTTTATACATACAAATTGTTCTGGCCAGTTTTTATCTGCTTGAAAAAGACTGAACTTGAATCTGACGTTTGCCGTTTGGAGTAAACGTGAATCTTAATCTCTCTAATCGCTGACCGGTGCGTCCGCAGAAACACTATCAGAATCAATTGCGGGACTCCTTTCGGCTCTAACTCCCTTCTCGTTTCAAAAGAGGCGAAGAGTTTCCAGAAGAAACTTTTCTTGAATCAGACCAAGGTTAGTTAATGGGGACTCTCGCCACTTAATCTCCACATGAAGAGCTTCTCCAAATTCAGTGGACTTTACTAAATCGTATTCCATGCACGTAGCAGTCAGATAACCAACACAAAACATTCTCATCTGGTGACAATCTGAACAAAGGTAGCTTAAGAAAAAAACAAGACAGCGGAATTGACGAAAAGAAAAACTTTATTTGCTTTAAATCATACAATAATAACAATTCGTGTTAGCTGAGATGCCCGTGAGGTTAACTCTTTCCCAGGCCCTTCAGCGAGGGGCTATGGGCTACTAAATTAAAAATTAAATAAAGAACACAATTATCAGGCCCTTTCTCTGAAACTAAGTATCCAGAAGACAAAAAGCTACAGCAAGGTTTGGGTATTCTTAGCTGCAAGCCACTGATATACAGGCCGAAAGATACAGTAAAAATGGACTATCCTCGTGACTTTACACTGCTAAGATATAAACAGTTAATATAAATGCCCGCCACTAGAGTCTGGTTAATTAAATGCAATAAAGTGGGAAAAACAGTAACCAAAAAAACTACTGAAAAATCTTTATAATAGACTTACTATTCCCAGACATATACGATACTTACGTCATGGACTTGCAGTCGTCTGACTATGAGCCCATATTGCATGATACGATTTATCAAACTGGCGATCCTTACATAAGCAAACTGGACAAAACGGATTTAATTTTTCACACAAATCGCAAGTGTATAACCTGCAAGGTTACACAGCATCCTCAAACTTGCTTGAGACTTGAGACAGCCCAAAAAGGCAACGAACGAACAAATCTGGTAACAATACCTCACTGTATCAGAAATATCGATTGGCTTTGCCAAGCCAAAAATGGCCATGCCTGATCTTTTTAAGAACAAAACTTTCATCACGCAACACAATTATTAACGCATAGGCTGCATCAATAGCTAGTTGAATAGTGTTTATAAGTCTTCAACAGTATTTGTTGAAAGGTAACGTTGTAAAACTTAAAAACTTCTACCACGTCACATCTAAACTGAAGTTGAAGTAATTTCAACTTCAAATTCACTAACTCACTGATCTCTCTCTCTTCTTTACAATCTACATTATCATTGTCTATTGCTTATCTTGCTGAAGGTACAATCTATAGTTTTTTTCTTCGTTTTCGCTACTGTTTTTTTTTTTAGTCATTTTTTCCAATACTTTTTATTTATTTTTTTTTAAACTTTTTTTCTATGCTTTTTGGATAATATACAATAATTATACGCAAAAAAACACGACGACAGAACAGATAATACGTGGGGATATTTTAGAATAGGACGTAAACTTCAAAATATCGCTCGTATTGACTGTTAAAACAGCCAATAGCAGAATAATGTTCGACTGCCTCCGGCAGATGGTGTTTTATTTCTTCAAAAGACAAAAAATTCGTTTTCCTCTTTGTTTTAAAAAACGAAGTCTTTGTTTTCCATCGTTTTTGTTGATTAGCCTGCGATTTTAACCCTTTTCCTTTCAAGCGAGCGCCTTCCACGCAGGCTACCCAGGAAACGGCCCACCTACCCCTCCTCTAAGCCAGCATTAACACTTACTTATCACTTAGGGGAGGGGAAGGTGGGCAGTTTCCCAGAAACGTATAATGATCCGGCTCCCCCTCAATACACGTTGTTGTCAAAATATTGTTATTGAATATGATGATTAATATCTTATAGACATCATTCAACCGACAAGCCGCTTTCAGTATTTGCGCGGCTATTTTTGCCCACTCTGTAATTTGCTCCAGTGCAAGTAATGAAATGTAATTTCTTAGTAAATATGGTATTGTGACTGAACAAGTTCGGTCAATAAAGAATTTATTGTATGGCCAAAGTAATTTTTTGGCCGGCTCTAACGAGGACAAAACGGGAATCACGAACAAGCAAGATAGACCTATCTTATCCACTCAGGTAGCCAATTAGAATACAAGATTTGTTTCATCTTGCCCACTCGTGGAGCCAGCCATGTAATAAAGCACGGTATTAACTGGGTGCTGCATGCACACAAATCCGCGGTTTTGCTAAGCCAGCTTGAAGTCCGCGCAGTTGATTGAGAGTCTTGCAAAGGGATATCTGACCTGGCGCGCTTCGTGCTCTATGTTACGGGAGTAAAGAGCAATCAGGCCCTTAACGGCCTATAGCCACTGAGGCCTAATTAGTTGCTATCTCTTGAGCGATGGGCTGGTTTGAAACACGAGATAAGTGACCCAATAGTCTTCATTCAAACGCCAGTATTCTAATGCGGACAGTGTTTCTGTTAAGGTCCCGAAATGACAGGACTTAACTTTTGAAACTTGGTAACCTTTCTTTGGTAGTTACAAGAGCTTAAACACGAATTTACCCAACAAAACACCATGGGAGGAAAACAAGCAGAAAATTCCATGTCGCCTATGAGCTGACAGTAAGGCAATATATCGGAATGTTTCTTGAGTTTTTTCTCTTAACATGCAACAATCTATCTAAAAATAAAATCTACAAACCGACATATTTTTTTCTGTTGATAATAACGTAGCATGCAGTGATATAAGATAACTACCGAAAAATCAAATTACTCGGTGCATGTATTGCTTTCGGTGAATAAACACAAACGTACTTTCAATCTAAAACTAAGCTGCGGAGTGAGTGTTCTAAGTATCGGTATAGACGAACGCTATGCTTCTTAAAAATAACCCATTAAGTATTATAACCTTGCAAATACATATTAATTAAGCTACAAGCGCCAATGACTTACATGTTGAAGAGTGTTACCAAAATAATCAGGCAACGCTAACTGACGTCATATTTTTTTAACGAATCAGTAAACTGCGTGTATCAATTACTGAAAAAGCAGTTCTCAATCAAGGATGGCAAGTGCGCATCCGTGGAGAACTCAAACTCTTCTCAATCAAAGTTGGAGTATCCGGAAAATATGCATCGCAAAATCTGAATACGCAGGACTAGACACTGCTTATGAAATACACCTTTCAATGTGTTTGAGAATGGTATCGCTGTTTTCGCCATTAAACTTTCTCAAACAACGCGGACATTCATCCAGCTGAATTGACACATCTTTATCATGGTCAAAACTGATTTTTGCATCATCACTGTCGGCATTACCAGCGGCGGCGGCAGCGGCAGGTGAATCAACAACATCTTCTACTGTATCGGGAAGAACCTCACCGCCATGGTACATAGACTGTGCCGCACTGGATCTTTGGTTTGATGGCTGTGAGACTGGCCCACGTGTAGGATATGATCCCTGGATAACAATAATGAATGGAAGCAGAAACCTTAGCAGCGGAAAATGGTTAAGTTTTTGAGGTGAATTTCTTGAGGAAAATCCAGAGGTAGATCTTTGAATCCAAAAACGAGTTCACCATCAGTACATTTTTAGGGCAAGGATGCGATGAAAGGACAACAGGTAAGCGATTTTTTAGTGAAAAATTTTTCAGATGTCCCTTACAAGTGGCCATTGGAAGCATACGGGACGCGTGGGAGCTTACGGGATGCGTGGAGGCCGGCATACGGAATGCATGGAAGCTTACGGGAGCTTGCGCACTAAAGTCATCATTGTACTATGCAGCCAAAAACACTGAAACGTTTGTTGTTGAATAGAGGACAAACAATGAGATTTTTACATGGCTCTGTCTGCTAAAAGGAGCTTAAAGACCTAAAAAAACCTACATCGTTGTCCGCGGCTGCTTAAGGGAAGGTGTTAAGGCATGGATAATATAATAGAGTGTAGTTCATATAAGGTGTTCACAAAGCGACCATCAACAGAGCTATCCTAAACAGGATACAGTCGTTTATGACAGCTTTAAATGTACAATGTTTATACGTTTAGGTTTCCTTCATCTACCTTGCCCTATATTGTGCGGATTAATTTATGTATCAACCGATTTCAATTCCCATGATCAACATCAATATTCTCCTTAATATTATATTGTTTAAAAACAGCTTTGGCATACAACAATTTGTACTCAATAACACAGCCTGTGCTAGGCTGCCTCTCTCCCTAGCCAGGGTTCGTACTCTTTCAAGTTCTTCAAATTCCATGACTTTCCATGACTTTTTCCATGACTTTTTCTAGTTTTCCATGACTTTCAAGGACCGAAAATTAAATTCCATGACTTTCCAGGCCTTGAAAACTAGAGTCTTAAATTCCAAGACTTTCAAGGTTTTCCATGGCCTGTACGAACCCTGCTAGCCTCCGCGCGTTTTTCGCATCAGTTTTCAAGATCCCTGCATACTACTATCTTGGAGCCTGTAACAGGCGATCGATAACATGGGACTTACAGTAACATCTAATATGGCTAACTGAAAAAATAAATGGAATTCTCTTTACCCTTGGCACTAGAGGACGATTTTGCCGTGACCAATCTTGAGTTGTGTAGTCACGCCCATAAGGACTGTACTGGTTACCAGAGTATGGCTGGGATTGATAAAAAATTAATAATACAATCAATTAAACTCTCAGAAAAGTCAAGAGACCTTATGATTCTCTGACGAGGAGGACTATGACAATGAGATTGTCACAGTATTTAAGAATGGGAAAACGTGATAGCCGTCATCATTCTATTACGGTTTTTGCAAGAATGTCATAGTGATGAAAACAGGTTAAAATATTAGAGGTTTTATCACTTTGCAATCAGGAAAGGGCTTAACCTCCTTTAATAAAAATAACCGTGTTAACCTTTCTGTTGAAAAAAAAGTAAAATGAAGCTTTCCTGGGTGTTTGTTTTTTTTTTAAGAATGCGAAAAAAGCTATTAGTCGAATCTTGTACTCATAATTTATGTCATACTCATCCTCAAATCTAAAGGTCTCTAATAGCCTCTACATGTTGATCCTTCTTCTACACAAGGCACCGGCTTTCGAACTACATGGTTAGAGAACTTTATAAAGAAACGAAAGCTGAAGTATTTTGGCCACTTAAGAAGAAGTGAGGACTTGGAAAAGATAATAGATAAAGAGGATAGATGAGAAAAGAGAGAGAGGAAGACTGAGAAGGAAATAGGAAAGGGACACATGGGGTGTTTTTGACACGTCGCTAACAGAAGTTTAAAGCTAGGCACTTGATAGAGATTGTTTCTGCTGTGTGGTCAAAGATGTGACGTCCAATAGCATAAGCAGTTAGAGTAGTAGCAGCGGTCCTGACTATTATCTTGTAACGTATAGGTGTAGGTGTAGATGTCTTACAGTAAGCAATACTTACCCCTAACTGCTGTCCATACACATGTTGCTGCAGCTCTTGTTGTCCTCTCAGTAATCTGTCTCTCTCCCTGTCATGTACCTCTTTAATAGCTTGCACCCTAGCTCTCTGTTCAGCTATAGCTCTGGCTCTTTCAGTCAACGGGTCTTGGTATTGATAGCCGCCACCCTGATCAATTAATACAATTTTTATTACACTTATGGATTACTACGAGGGAGAAAGCTCCTCTTGAAGACAAAAATTACAAAGTGTCTACAATAATGCTGGAAACTCCTGCAGACTTGCTGAAAGAGTATTGCCAACAGATGGCTTAATATTTTGTCTGTGTGTTCTGCACTCTCAAGACCTCACCATGGACCATTGAGTGTTATTGTAAAAGATGAATGATTTGACCACACGATTCCAGCTTCAAAATGAAACTAAGTTCTACTTGAGTTTTGAACCTTTGCTTTATAACATCAATTCTATAATCTATAAAATTTTCGACAATGAAAAGTTGCTGTTAACTTCTTAGATTAAATTTAAAATGTAACATAACATTTGGGGTTTCCTTCTCACCGGGATGTAATAAAAGAAAATGGTATGATATTATTGCATTATCTTTCCCATCATTTCATCTGGCTTAAACTGCTGACAGTCATGATTTTACTAGCTTACCCCAGTACTGTAGCTAGCTGCCCTTAACTGCTGCTGTAAGCTTTCCTTTTCTCTCTTTTCCCTTTTGAAATCTTCTTCATATACTTGAACCTGTTTTAAAAAAACAAACAAAAAACAAGAAGAAACATTTTTAACATATAGTGTAACTGTTTTTTTCTTTGTGAACTTGACTTCGAGTGCAATGTTATGATTAAATAATTAAAAGCTGACACACACAAACAGTAATTTGCATAATTATTATATGTACACAGAAAACAGAGTTTTACCACAGGGCTTATAGCTGTTTATTAATCACAAAAGAATAAAGAAAACACACCAGTGAAATAAGAAAATATTACTGTTATCTAGTATTGTAATTGACCAATTACTGGTTTAATCACTGGCTCTTGGGACAGAGTCAAAAATTAATTTAATAATATAAGACTTTTATACATGTAAAGTAATTTAAGGAAGAAGGATGATAAAATGAATATTAGAGAAACTTCACACATAAACAATATAATTAAGGTGTCTAAACTAAGGAAGCCAAGTCTGTAATTAAGCCATAGAAAAATGATGTAAAGACACGCCCAATTGAATTCACATTGTTCAAATGTTGAAAGTAACATGTAAAGTATGGCATGCTACATCAAAAGACCACACTTATGTGCCCATTTATGTTCATAACAACATTCAACAGAAGAGAAATACTGATATGAAAAGGTGAAGGTGCACTTTAAGCCATGGAGCTCACATCACTGGAGATTGTTCCAGTTTCTGTGCCATGAAGCACCAGCAAGTAGTGTGACTCCCCTCTGGACAGGATGCCAGTCCATTGCAGGGGGTGACTCCCAACTCCCAGGTAAATGGTACCCATTTACACACCTGGGTGAAGAGAGACATAGTGGACCAAAGTTTCTTGTCTAAGGAAACCAAGCGATGCCAAGGCTCAAACCCAGACCTATGGATCCAAGTCCAACCTGTTCACCTCTTGGTCACCATGGGGGCTCCATGAGGAGAAGATGGGAGAGGAGATTATTGGTGCAGACTAAGGTTGAGGCAAGGTTACAAGATGGCTGGGCACATAACTGAGATGTCATGATGTAACATCCGTCACTAAAGCACGAAAAATGTGCCTTGGTTCTCCCACTTTTCAAAGAGATTAGGGAAAACCATGTCACAAACTGCCACCATCAAACACTCTGGCCACCTGTCCTTGCTATGTACATGTCCTCCACATTGTTGTGATACCGAACCTACCAAAGAGATGTTGGTCGACAGCAGCCTGGTACGCTGGTCCATAAGGACACGCTGTTGTACAATGTCAGTACTAACTCAGTGGCCAGGGCTACTCAGTTTAATGAAGTGTCAGAGCCTACTGGAAGAGTTGCTCAGATGGCTTCGACAATGACTGACAGTGACTGAAGAAACAATTGTAATTCATGTATATGTATGTCAGAGCAGAGACACTTCACAATAATGTCATTAGAACTTAATTCTTACTCTGAACTTTGGTGCAACCTCAATACACTATGGCAGCATTTGGTTATTCTGCAAGATTTTATGTAAGAAGGGTCATTTTTAAACAATTAACTTTACTCGTTTTGTCTTGAGAATAATAGAACTGAAAATAATGACGACAGCATGTTGAATCTGGGTAAATAATGTATTATTTTTTTCAACACAATAAGGACAATCTAAAGAGATTACTGTAAATTTCAGCTGGGATAGTGGCGAAAGTACCACACCTGAGAACCTTTTTTCAATACAGTGCACTGAAGTTACACCAAAGGATAATTCTCTTTTCACTGTCTTTTTTTTTTCGTCCTGTAAAATGATATCTATAGTATACTTGAACTTTCTTGTGCCTCTGCTATAGACCTTGCCAGGTTTAAGAGGTCACTGTGATGAAAAAGCCAACATTTCAGAAATAACATTTCTTAAAGTCATAAACAATAATTATTTTGTACAGAAAATCCATGACATGTTGAGATTTTGTATCAAGCTACTAATTCCTGCACCCAGAAAAAATTGTGTGAAAAGCTGAACTGTAGTCTATCCAAGTGAGTAGTGCAGCTGAGATGTTGAATCAAGCTCCTAACTCCTGCACCCAGGAACAGTTTTGTGACACGTTTGTAATGTTGTTGTGTACAATACACTTCCAATGTATGGTAAGAATTTGTTTCTGTTATTTCAAATGTTTGCCTATTCATCACAATGACCATCAAAGCCTTTAAGCAAGGTCTAAATTTATAGACAAAACCTACTTGCTGTTCAAGAGCCTGAACTTGTTCTTTAACAGCTGCAAGTTCATCTCGCATTTTTTCCTTCTCTGCCTGGTTGCGTTCGCGATCTTCTCTTTCAGTGGCAAAATCATCAGCGTAAACTCTTAGCTGTTGTTTCAGTACTTCAATCTGATCGATCACCTCTGGGGGGATATTCTGGTTGTAGGGGGTGGTCCCTGGCCAGGAGGGTGGGCCAGTGGTAGGTGCTGTGGCAGAAGCTCCAGTTGGCAGGGCAGCTGCACCCATCAGAGAGGGATGTGAAGATGGAGGTTCCATAGAGGAGTTCTGGCGTGCTGGAGGCTGCTGGTACTGCAATGGTTAAATCAGAAGAAAGAACAAAATGTCATCATTCCCATTTCTAGTTAACCACAGCCTACAGGTGTCCACCCTTACAGCTGTAAGTGAAGCATGGTGCCACTACTGTCTTTTAATAAAAGTTAACAACAATTTATGGAAGAAAGTATCTTCTCCACTGATGCCACAGGGCTGTCAGAAAGTTTTGAAGTAGACGGCCTGGTTGTCAAAGTAAGTGGCCAGTCCAGGGATATTTTATTTAAAAAACACCATCCATAAAGAAATGGCAAGCAGAGTAGCCGGCCGACACTAACCAAGTAGGCGGCGATTTTCGCCCGCAGCAGGCTACTTTTGACAACCCTGCACTAAGTTACTCACACTTCCCTTAAGTAATGTACCAAAGCTAACTGTCTAAGTACTGTAAGAGTAATAAGAGTAGTAAGAGTGAATAACATCTATCGGAATGACAATAAAACATAATCAAGAGCAAAGAGTACGAGAATTGTGAAATGATCACCTAAGCCAGAAAATGCTTTGATCTTTATGTAAAACTATATCAACTAATTCTTTAAGGAAAGGTATGGAGATCAGCCAAGAAAATTTGTATGTCAGCAATGGATTTCATAGGTTTAGAGCTTTTTGACTCCAAATAGAGTAGAATCCTTACTGTCTTATTTTATTATAAGCAGTTCTTCTGAATGAAGAAAGGAATAAAATAACATTTTGGTATAGTATGGGCTTGATAATACTTATATCATAAATGTATCTACTGAGACTATTACCAAAGAATGGTTCCTCATCTGTAACTGCAGGCTGTTTATCTCCAGCTGTTTCTGCTGAAGCTCACTTTCCAATTGCTTGCAGCGCTGATCCAGCATCTAGCATAGTAACAAGGCATAAAACAACAAGGTTTACATTTACCACACAAAAACACATGATAACTGATCACTGAAGAATTATTGTTTGTATACATACCACTCTAACCCCTACAATCTTTTTTCAGTGATGGCAGTGATCACATTATCATTATTCGGAAACCAGCCTGAACTTGCAAATGTCATGAACTTTTATTGGGTGAAATTCTAGTAAAAAAGCCGTCACACCTTAGAGCTCCACGCTTCCTTTACAATGTAACACTTACCCTATTTTCCATCATGGCAGGTTCTGGAAACTGACCAGGTCTTCTACCAGCAGAGTTTAGAACTTGAATTTGCTGCCTCAGATCAACGATTTCTTTGTTATTGGCTGCTACCAGCAACTTGTACTGTTCATCCCACTTATGATTTACATCAAGAATCTTTTGAACAATAACAGAACACAGTTTGACTCTACAAGTTTTAGTTGAAATTCTAGTAAGCAAACCAACAAGTTTTCAGACGTGTTCATGATAGTTGTTGTTCTGAAAAAAAAAGACCTATTTTGTTTCAGTCTGCTGGCCAGTTAGTCAAGAAAATCTAGTAACAACAATTAACCCTTCAACTCCCAATAGTGACCAAAATCAATTTTCTCCTAATGATATCCCTACACTGTAAAGAGATTAGGTTATGAGAATAAATAAAATGATCACCAAAGGGAAACGCTTTGATCTTTTATCAGATTCTCTTTACTCATTCTGTAAGGAAATGTATAGAGATCAGGTTGGAGAATTTGTATGTGGATATTGGGGCTTAAAGGGTTAAGTAATTCTCCTCCATGACAAGACTCAATAGTGGACATATTTAGAGTTAGCTGTTAGTCAGATCAGATCAGTCTGTCGTCATTCAATGCTTCAATCACTTATTATCAATCCAGTCAAAATAATCATTGTAAGGTGGAATTTCTTGGATTCTACATTCCACAAAGTGACTCAGTCTGTCGAAGACCCTTTTACCTCTTCCTTAAGCTTCAATGCTTCATCCTTCTCAGCTTTTGTTAGCAATAGCTGTCGCTGAAGTTCAGTAAGCTGGCGCTGCAGTTGTGTACAGCTCTCACAAGGTTCAGGTCCATGTTGCGATAGTGGTGACTTCAAGATGAAAGACTTTTATAGGAAAAAAGAGAAAAGAAAAAAAGAAAACAATCAATCAATATAATTTTATCCTAAATTACAATATATGTCCAAAAGAATTAATGCCGTCCTCAGCTGCTTCTAAATACAACTGCATTATCATTTGCTAAAGTGATTATGACTTAACAAGATATGTGCATTCCACAGCACAAGAAGCCTGCAGTTTAAGGTTAATACTTTAGTTGAATGTGGTACAAAAACGAGACTTATTTTCCAAATCTAATTGAGCTGTTGGTTATAATATAATTATGGTATAGCAGCAAGAACTATTTTGTGCCAGTTTGACGGTTTCTTGAGGTCTTGATCCTGACCTTCAATTTTCTCTTTTCATACACGTAATTTAATTTAATTACAAGTGAGGCAAGTGAATAACTATTGCATTGAATTGAATTGTGCCATACTAGTGTTTGAATTAAAAACTATAAAATACAATAGCAAGAAAAGCCAACAGAAGTTATAGTACCTACGTATTTTGAACAAGCATTTTAGCTCATTAGATGAAACCCATGTACATGGGTAAATAAACTATTGTATTGTATTGTACCTCATTTGTAAGTGAGACAGCTGGACTTCGTTCTGGAATGACAAATGAAGGTTTGCTGTCTGCTGCTGTGGTTGTTTCATGCTGTCTTTTAACTGCAGTAGTCTTTTGGAATAACTTTAGTTCACTTTGAATTTGTCCAATTTCTTCTTTGCTTTGATCAAGTTTCTCCTTGAGCTCTTGCACGACATTTTCATGAGAAGCCTTGCAGTTTAATTATTGGTAAACAAACACAAATAAACAAATCAAAGACTGATCAAGAGTGAATAAAATAATAAATAATAATAATAATAATAATAATAGTAAAAGTAAAAGTAGGTTGAGTTTGGTCGTCCGGGTGAACGTAGTCCTGAATAGGACTGTTGTTGTTGACAGTGACTGACGTTTCGACAACCTGTGCAGTAGTCATCTTCAGAGTCAAAGTGAGTTGTATCACATCAGTTCATGGTATTATACTCTAGTTATTGATCTGACTGGTCAATTTCGTTGCGATGTTAGTCGTAGTCTGTCAGTTAAGCTGTGACGGGTCCAGAAAATAGGGTCTGGATAGGCGAAATGGAGTAACTATGTACACAGTCCCAAACATGACCCTGGGAGAAGAGAGACAAACTGTACAACTAGTTTTGATTGGGTGATTCCAGAAAATATCCATACCCTACCACTGGTGGCATGAGTATTTTAACCCCCCCTTGCCCTCGGAAATTCCAAAGTGCTTATCCCCCCCCTTGCCCTCCGAATTCCAAAATCGCTAACCCCCCCTCTCCTCCGGAATTTTCCACTTTTGTTTCAGACCCTTTGGAATTCCTGTTCGTCTGCCTAAATCTTCAAACGAACGAGAAACTTGCACTTTTTCCCTCTGCAAAAGAATTCTGTTCACAATGATCAAAACACTTGCGCATAAACAGTTTTGAATTAAACAGCGCATCAAAAGGCACGCTGTCGGATTTTACTACCTACATGTTGGCGTGAAAATCGGCGTGAAATACAAAATCTGTCAGGCGTTCTATTTGGAAACGAGAGACTGGTGCGAGTTTTCAGCACGCAGCAACACATCGTCCATCGACAATCGGCGAGAAACACCGACTTGGTTATATTTTTATTAATCAGTTGACTAATTCATCAACTTTAAGGCCTCTTCGATGTGGAGCTTGCTGCACAACCCATCTGCTTACCCATCTGCATGAACGCATACTTCTTCCGTGGTCGGTTCGTGCTTCATTTACAAACTGGGAATGTTAACAGGTCAGCGATTTCAAGCGGAGCTTTCGCCGTCTTTTCTCTGGAAATTCACTGAATTCAGAGCTGAAACACCGCCCCATGCCTTTGGAATTCCAAACTGCGTTACCCCTCCCCCCCCCACGTCTTCGGAATTCCAGTCCAAGAAACCCCCCCTCTCCCTCGGAATTCCAAGATGCCGCCCGTGGTATGGTATGGATATTTTCTGGAATCACCCATTGACACCTACCTCCCATCCTCAATTAAGTTGCCTGGAAACACAGCTACATTAAATATTAAAACAAACCTGTTCCTCTTCCATAGCTGCAAGCTTAGTTCTTAACTGTTCCTCCTCTGAAATCAAAGCACTTGATAGTGTCTCCCTTGTTCTTGCCTGTTTGGCATACTCATTAAGCTTGGAGTAAAGACTTGCAAGCTTTCCCTTTATCTCTGTGTCTCTGTCATTACCAGGAAGTCTTTCCACATTCTCTTGCAAGGTATATGCCTCTTTAAGAAGCTGACCAATTTCATGATTTATATGCTGGTACTCTGTATAGATCTCCTTTGGTAAAAATAATTTCATGTGGTTTCAAAAGGAAGCAATTAGAAGGAACCCACTACAATACACATTCATGCCCAGCAAGAAAGTTGCTGATAGACCCACCTTCCCACTACTGTAAAGTGGGTGGGACAAATTATACAGTAAAATGGATAGGCAACTTGTATCTTCTTCAGGATGTTGATAGTTGAAATAAAATAATGTTATGTACCAAGAGATGGGCACAACCAGTTTGAAGTATTAATTTTCCATTGGTGGCATCTCATTCGTTATCATTACAAATGGAATGTTATGTACACGCGAACATGAACAAGCCAATGCAGCCCTTGAAAATCGATCCTCAGTCATAAATTTATCTTCCAGCAAAAACACCTCATGACGTCCTTGTGTCTTGGCAAGATATTCTTGGTCATCACATGACAAGTGCCATGCATTGACAGATATTTATGATTACACAAACATACTATTAAAGTAATTTTCAATTATAATTCATCAAAATATTCAAGTATTAATAGCCACCAACAACTTTTTATGATATCAACAGACCCTAACTGTCAAACTAATAAAACCATGAAAATCTGAATATTTTAAGAATGTTTTTTCTGTTATGGCCAATCAAAGGGAACACCAGGGCATCCAAGTCAGCCACAAAACCACCAACTAATCATTACTATGATAATCGCTGATTGTAGGTTAGTTTCACATGCTCAATTAGCTCTTCCCTTACAACACTGTAACATTCCAGAAATATTTCTGAAGTTCACGGTTTTGTGAGTTTCCCAGTAAAATATTAGGTTGCACAAATAAAATAATCGTGTGACCTCTCATGCAAAAAAATTCTTGCAAGCGCAAAGATGAGAACTAGATAGCCAAGCCAATAGAAAAGGAATGGGCAAATGCCTAAGTAAATGTAGAAAATTAATTTTATGAAAAGATGAGGTCAAATGGTTGATCAATTCTGGTAATTAATCTCTATCTATAAATTGAAAGAAATCCAGTTGGAAAAAACACCATCTTATTCTATGTTTGGGCCCAGGCTCGATGCGGAAGACAATCACCACCCAAGAGACTGGATAACACGTGGCAACTGATCCATTCCTTCCCAAACACCAATACATGTAGGTATTCAAGACCATCACTGTGGTTTTTGCTCTTTGTACATGTAGTCAAAGTTTGTAGGGGGTAAGTTTTGTTTACTTTTTTCTCGTTGGTTATTAAATATGGATGTTATTTCTTATGAATTTTATAGTCCTTAATTAATCTGGATACAAACCGCCAACCTTAGGATAATATATTGAGGCCACCAATAACACATTAAAACATTAATGCTGCAGAACAAATGTTTTGGCAGATCAGTCAATGTTACACTATTATTGTACCTTGATATGAAATTCTCCAGGTAATAATGATGGATATCCTGCAGATAATGACTGGGGACCAGAGACAGTTGTTACATTGATGTTATAATCATGAATTCCAACACTCGACCTTGTCATGGATGAATGACAGCTGCCACTCTGCTTTTCTCCTGTGCTTTGGTTATCATCATCATTAACTGTACAAAGTGAAAAGTCAGCTTGTGCCGCATCGATACCTTTTTGTAACAAGCTTGATTTTAATTGCTCAATTTCTTGTTTCAGTCTTGCATTATTTTCTTGTGAATCTTGAAGAACTTTGCCTGTTAAATTAAGGTGTAATTTCACAAATAAATACTATTTAGAACATGCACGTATTCAGCATACTGCAAAAAGACTGCTTTCCGGCTGTTCATGACAGTGATAGTATGCAAGATCAACCTATAAAGTGCATCTCTACTTGATCACTGTTTTACAGCAAATAATTATACAAGTACCCCTTGCACTTGTAAATATAATAAATTCACATTTTCTCCCAACAAACCTCATTTTCCTTTGTTTCCTTACTCCATTCACAATCAAGAATAATCAAACAGGGCAAAGAGACAAACCAAATCCAAGATTAAAACGAAGTTGAAAAAATTTTAACTTGAATTACAATTCGACCTACAACATCTACGTCAACAAAACATCACTGTACCTAAAACGGTCACTCCTTGGGCTCTGACATGTAGAACTTTGTTTTCTTGTTGTAAGTGTTCAATTTTTTTCTGTAGCTTCAAAACTTCTTCATCTGATGTACTTAGTGTTTCGGATGCGTCCTTCATTATACTTGCCACTGGAACTGTTAATACATGTGTATTTTCTCTGCACACTACAAAACCCTGTCTGTAGGCCTGAAGAACAAAAAAAAACATGACTGATTCTGAAACTGATAACAGGTTAGGTAGTAATTTCCAGTTTTGTCACATGCTAATTAAACATAAGTGACATCAATATTTTGTTGTGTCAACCATAAATTGGTTATTTTTTAAAATGTAGTTTTATTTATGGATGACGATAGACTAAAAGTGGATGACTGACAAAACCTAGATTGAGCTCAACTTTATCAACCCCTTTAAAAGTGTCCCTAGCCTTTCATCATTTTTTTAATGAGTTACAATTGTTCATGTGATCTGGCCTGATCCAGATTTTGTTGACATCTGAATAACTGAGATTTTTTACTCTCCTTTCTACACAGAGGTTCTAAACACCAGGAACATTTATATAACTATACCAAAACAATGTTCATGTATTGCTGTTACACATGTAATTCTTACACTTACTTGACTGTATTAACATATATAAATAGCAAAGAGAAAAGGAAAAAGATGGCAGTATAAACTGTTTCCCTGCAAAATTAACACTTGCCCATTTACCTGAAGTTTCAAACTATTTGAACGTTGTCAGTGATAAAAATGTAACTTGTGACAGAGGGATGTCACTGAACATACCAAAATATTACTAATCACAGTGCAACCAGTTAATTCAAGGTAGCAATGTTATTATTTACTGCTACCAGACCAGAGACAAGCTGCTTGTTGAGTTATCATGATATTACAAATTATTGCTTGACTTTCTGCAGACTTTCCCAATAAAATTAATGTTTTGTTGCATAGTTGTTGTGCTATGTAGTTTTGTAGTTTTGATCACCTGTACATGATTTTGCTGTTACACACACAGTATGTCATTTTCCTGTTCTGAACAAAAATACAAAACTACTCCTAAGCACTTCCAGTTCCTTTACAAATATGGGAAGTAGTACTCAAGCTTAGAACAAATGTAAGCCTATCCAGGAGAGCAGTTGAGCAAGACAGTATGAAAAAAATGTGCCTATCAAGAAAAGAACTTCACTTGTGGGTGGCATGCAGGAACATGTAAAATAACTATCCAAATACAATGCATTCATGACCATTCAAGGTGTTCACCAAATCCCAAATTAGGAATAACACCCTTTAGACAGGGAAATATTAGAAATAGATAAATTCCATTTTCAAACTGACTGCACAATGTATTTTAATATAGGTATCTATTTTGATGTTGTTTATAGAGCAAGATTCTCACAGGAACTCTAGAAGAGAAACTGAACTTAACAATAAGATGATATGGAAATTATGGTTGTTTACATCGGTTAGTGGGCATTGTTATTAAGCCTTATTATATATTTAATCTCCAAGGACAAAAGATTTTATCATAATTTTTTTTTCATCCCTAACCAACAGCTAAATTACATATTGAAACTTGGCTTAACATATAGGAACACTATACAGCGCAGATTTCATTATCGGTAAAAACAAAAATTTTCACGGAAACCCTCCTTTCCCCCCCGTTCCCAACAAAAAAAAGAAAAGATTAAAGTGCCTAGCGAAGGACTTTCGATCAAACGGGAAAAAATACTTCGCCCAATACAATCATGAACTGCGTTTGAATAACAGTAATTTTCTTTTAGGAGGAATATTATAGGTCCCTATGAACAAAATAAAACTGAGCTGGACTTTTTAGAACCTTAAATGTAAACACAGGAACACACAAAGACGGGACACCCCCGCTCTCGACGCCACAAAGACGCGGATATATGTCAACAGCACACGTAAAGGGAAGTTTGGTGCTTTATGTAATGGCTAAGAATAAATTCAATAAAATTCCTACACGTACAGACTTCTTCTTTTAACTCAACATATCGACCTACCTACAACTACTTTACCTTTGCTTCTTTTTTAAGGGAAACAACCTAATCGCATTCTTTAATCGCCATTTTGAATTTTGTCAACCGCGTCGCAGCCTGTTCGTCGGCCGTTAGAGTGATAACACAGCGATTGAAATTTAAATAGTCCCCCTAAAGTTCTATTTAAACAAATGCTATGCATTTGATTGCTCTTACACAAGAAAGTCTTGATTAAGAGCAGAAAAACAGTCGAAAGACTACAGGTATTCGACGAGTGCTAGTCGAGGAGGCAAAATGGCGGATCTGATTTGCGAAACAGTGAATTTTTAATGAGGGGATTCCCCGGATTTTCTATATGGTCTGTGATTGGTTGATTTGCACAAGTACTTGAGTAAGGGTAAAATGACCTCGGAGCATTTGCTGAAAGTCTCCACGGATGAACCTGCCGGTGTATTGGAGCCGAATTTCCAATCTACAATCGAGGGACATAAGTATTCTTCAGGTTCCCAGTCAATCGCTCTCTATTTTTAAAAGTTAACTCCTTTAGGCTATCTTTTATTCGCAGTTTACATTACTTTTTATTTGTAATTTTAGATTTAATCATTATCTAATATATATTTAGTGTTTTAGAGTTGGCGTGATGTCCCTAGTGGATGTTGCCGACAAAATCACATATAAACCACATTGAAATTAATCTCTTTAATTAAATAACAAATTGATTCAATCAACAGGGTTCCCAAAAATAAAAAGTTCCATTTTGCATGACATACATTTGAATTACACCACAGTTGCTTGGCAATTCTGTTCGAAGAAAACTGGTGAGGTCACATGAAAGACAGACGGAAAAAATTGTCATGAATAATTAACACAAGAAGTCGTGGAAGTGGCTGCAACACTTCTGAAGACAAAATACAAATTGCGCACCGCTTTATCGACCAACACGCAAACCAGGCAATTTATGCAAATAAAATTCGATAAACAACTTGGTTGAATGCCATTAAACATGTTCCAATCATGCCACTGTTGGTCACACCATCCGTTCAATCTTTGTCACATTTAAAATTACGGTTTTACTTTCGGTGAAGTGTCACGACCCTGCACAAAAGCGAAAGCAAATTTAAGTCGAACCTATTCTAACAACTACCTCTGCAAAATAAACTTCTGCTCAACGGCTACATTTCTTTTTGGGTCAGCAAATACATTCACTTTTCTTCTAAGCTTTCTACAACGGCCACTCCCTAGAAAGGGTCCACCGAGATGGACGTTGTAGAGAGTGGTTCTCATTGCAACACCTCTGCAAGTGTATTAAACTTAGGCCTTAAAATTCCTTGGAATAACAAGGATCCACCAGTCGGGTGTTTTGCCTTTTAATCCTAGCCCGTTTAAGCTCCAATTCCGTGCAAATGCAGCTTTTGGTGCAGTTTACACCAGCCCCACTTGGCGTAAATTGCGCCAAGGCGGAAATAAAGAACACCTCTTTTAAATTGATGGACACAGCATTTAATTTTCACTATCATTAAACCAACCAACCTGTGTAAATCGTCGCCTGTGTTACTCTTACTCTTGTATCATAAGCATAAGACTGATGAGATCAAGGGACAGTATAGGAAACTTTATCCTTCACTGTGAACCGGAAGTAGCAAGTATTTCCAAGAACGACAACGGAAAACGTCCGACTAAAATCAGTTAATGACATAAATTGTTAATTATAAAAACATAGGTGTTTCACTGCGTCAGTTTGACAGCGATTCAAACCTCAATCACTTGATTAAACACAAATTTTCGCTTTTCATGAGTAGATCGGCGTGAAAAACAACGATAAAAGTCCATTCTGTAACATCAAGGGAGAGAGCTAAAATTTTCAGCCAGTGCATATTTACTTCTCTTATGACCTTACCTGTGATGTCAAATTTAAGAGTGATCGAGATTCTAATTGTTAAACAACTGCAAAGTTAAGAACCAAATTTCCGCATGCTGATTCTACGAAGTGTGGAGAAGTTATACCGATTTTAACCTAATATCACCATGGTGACATAAAAGCTACATGTGCAATTCTTCCTGGCGGAAACTTTCAATTAAGGAAAACTGAGATCAGATCAAGGAGTCACGCTTCTTTCAGTGGACTAATTTTATAAGCAGTCAAAGTTCGATCCATGAAACGAGTTTTAGCCAAGTATCATTACGAACCGTCTTCGTTCCAATGTTACGAATTATCAATGATAATAGAGCACTGCATGCATGATTAACGTTTTTTCATTGCTGTAACCAGGTTCTTTGTTCATCCTTGAAGCTCCAACATGAACATACAAATTCATGAGACGTATCTCTATACGGTCGATGTGATCTAATGAAAACCCATTTCCTCAAAGTGTAAATTCGGACTCAACGAATTGCCGGAGGTACGTTTCGAATTTTCTTTCATGCTGATTGGCAAATTGACAATGGCTTTCATGGCAACATACTCAAATTCTGTTACACAGGTGGGTGCCCAGAACAAGGATTTAGGCGCTGCTTCGCAGGCGGAATTAACCAGAATTTAGGTTCGTCTGTGACGCAGGCTACGACGAGGCGTGAATTGACCAAACGTTTAAGGGACAAGCTATGAACTTTTAGTGAGCTAAAACGAAGAGCTGAAAACGTTTGTATCTTCTGTACCCGTCAGACGGAATTGAAATTACACTTCACAATAAAAATGAAGGGTATTGAATAAACAAAACAATTATGTAATTAACAGTTTACTTTTAGAGATCGGGAAATTTTTTAAGTCATTCTGAAACGCAAATTCAGAAAACCGAAACGTAACATGAAAATTAGAACATTCCGTCGGTTTCGGGAAATTTTTCCTACATCATCATATAGTCTATCATATATTTTCCCTTTCTTCTGTAATGTTCCATGTTAATCATGATCATCTCATCATCATCATCATTCATCAACAACGTTAAAAAGAAGACCAACAGCATAATTGTACTATTGTATTACAATTGTTATGCAAAAACCATCCATTGCTCTTTTCGATAGCAACAAGATTAGGATGATACACCGCATAAATATACTTGAGGAATAAACGATTTATGACAAAATCAGAATTTTTAGTCGATTCCTGGACTTGATTGCTCTCCC